TGGAAGCATTAGAATCTGAGCTTTCATATATCCGAAACTCAGCTACTGCACTGCGAGAATCTTTTCTTCTCAAAGACTCTCTGCTTCACAGAATTGAAGAAATTTTAGAAGATTTGGATCTCCCAGAGCATTTTCATGCTCGAGATATATTAGAAAAAGTGGAGTGGTTAGCAAGATCAGCTAACGGAAACTCTTTGCGTCCCTCTGATTGGGATCAGAAGAGTTCTGATGGAGGTGGGGGATTTGCTCTCTCCGAGCCCTGGCGTGAGGATGTACAAGCTGGCACAAGTTCTGAGGATGACTTAAGGATCAAGTTTGAGGAGCTCAAAGGGAAGTTTTATGGATTGGCTGAACAGAATGAAATGCTAGAGCAGTCTTTGATGGAAAGGAATACTTTGGTACAAAAGTGGGAAAAAGTCCTCGAGAATATTGATATGCCTCCACAGCTACAGTCCATGGAAGTGGAAAACAAGATTGAATGGCTTGCAACTACAATATCAGAGGCTACACATGACAGAGATACTCTCCAACAAAAGATTGATAACCTTGAAGTCTATTGTCAATCTCTAAGTACTGATTTAGAAGTCTCACAGAAGCAAGTATGTGATGTCGAGGTAAATCTTCAATCATGTGTTACTGAGAAGGTGAGTCTCTCTGAAAGACTGGAAAGTTTGAATGGTGATCATGAGATTCTTACTGGGAGGGCCAGTCACCTTGAAGTTGAGAATGAGAAACTGCAGAATCAATTAAAAGATTTGCATGGAAAATTAGTTGAGAAACTTGGGAATGAAGAACATCTTCAAAATATTGAAGGGGAGTTATTGAATTTGAGGTACATGATCAATGATGTTTTACAGGAAGATGGCTTGCAGGATTTGGCTTCTGCAAGTAATTCTGAGAACTTGGATGGACTGCTGAAAAAGCTGATAGACTATTATAAGAATATGTTAAAAGCTGAAAGAGATGACAACATTCGTCCATTAAATGCTGATGTTAGAAGCAGAGAGTCATTGGGCTCAGAGGAAGCAACTTCTCATGAACACAATCCTGAATTGATAGTTGAAGCAACAAGTAGAGACATAACAGTAGTAGAGACACCTGATGTAGCTTCCTTAGCAAAAGATCTGGATGAGGCACTGCATGTGCAAAAGCTGACAAGGGAAGAAAGAGATTTGTACATGGCAAAACAACAATCCTTGCTTGCTGAAAATGAGGCACTTGATAAGAAAATATTAGAATTGCAGGAGTTTCTTAAAGAAGAAGAGCAGAAATCAGCTTCTGCAAGAGAGAAGTTAAATGTAGCTGTTAGGAAAGGGAAAGCTTTGGTCCAACTAAGGGATAGTCTGAAGCAAACTATCGAAGAGATGAATGGTGAGCTTGGTCGCCTGAATTCGGAGATTATCAACCGAGATGAAAAGCTCTTAAACAATGAAAATAAAGTTAGGGAGTTGGAATCTTACACTGTAAGGGTCGAATCTCTAGAGTCTGAGTGCCAATTGCTGAAAAGTCATTTGCAAGAAACAGAAAATTTACTGCAGGAGAGAAGTGGTACTTTGAGCATGACATTGAATGTGTTAAATAGCATTGATATTGGTGATGAAGGTGAAAGAAATGATCCAGTTCTGAAGCTTGAGCGTATCTCACAACTGTTTCAAAATATGAGCACAGCTGTGTCTTCTGCTGAGCAGGAGTCAAAAAAATCTCGAAGAGCAGCTGAGTTGCTACTTGCTGAATTGAACGAGGTTCAGGAGAGAAACGATAGTCTGCAAGAGGAACTATCAAAATTTACTTATGAATTCCAGCAACTTTCCAGAGAGAAGGATGCAGCGGAGGCTGCAAAAGTTGAAGCCATATCACATTTTGAAAATTTGTCAGCAGTCAACAGTGAAGAAAAGAAGAAGCTATATGCTCAACTGCTGTCCTTCGGAACTAGTGTGAACTCTGTAAAGAAAATTCTTGCAGGTACCAGCAGTTGCCTAGCTGATATTTTCACCATGGATATGGAGTTTCTGCATCATCTGAAGGGCAATATGGAGTCAGTTGCAAAGCAAACTGGTACTAATTTGTCTGGCTGGCCGCAACTCAGCTCTGGGAATCTTAAAGAAAAGGTATTTTAGATCCGTTCAATTTTAAGCTTATTACGTCAAAGTTTTTCTGCTACTGACTGTCCCTGAATATTGTTTTTCCCCGTTCTGCTAGGAAATCTTTTCACACTTGAGTGCTGCTTGGTCTAACAATAACGTGCATGAGATTTCAAGTGGTGGAAACATTACCGAAATGTGTGGTTCTCTCTCACAAAACCTTGATCAATTTGTGGATGATGTTAGCCATCTCAAAGAGAATGTAAGCAAGCACTTGACATCATGGCACGACCAGATCAATATTGTATGCAACAGTATCGACACCGTCTTTAAGTCAGTCGGAACAGGAACAGACTCAGAAATTACCGCTCTGGGTGAAAGAGTTGCCCTTCTTCATAAAGCATGTTCTACTGTGTTGTTGGAAATTGAAAGCCGTAAAGCTGAACTTGTTGGAAATGACAATTTCAATATGAGTCTCCATCAAGTAGATGAGGATTCGTCCATGGAATCTGTCAGGTCCATGGTAAACAGGCTATCGTCAGCTGTTAAGGAGTTTGTTGTAACAAATGCGGAGACTGTGGAGAGAAACGAAAAGGAGATGAAGGTAATCATCGCCAATTTGCAAAGGGAGTTACATGAAAAGGACATCCAAAATGATAGGATGTGCAGTGAACTTGTGGGTCAAGTTAAGGAAGCCCAGGCTGGTGCTAAAATCTTTGCGGATGATCTTCAATCTGCAAGTGCTCGGATGCGTGATATGCAAGACCAGTTGGGCATTTTGGTTCAGGAACGGGATTCTATGAAGGAGAGAGTAAAAGAGCTGCAAGCCGGGCAGGCATCACACTCAGAATTACTGGAGAAGGTCACATCGCTTACTGATGTGCTAACTGCGAAAGACCAAGGTCAGTAATTTTATTCGAAACTTTTGCTTTTCAAGTGCCGCATATTTCAGCTAATACGTAAATTTTTGTTGCAGAAATTGAGGCATTAATGCAAGCACTTGACGAGGAAGAGTCTCAGATGGAGGATCTGAAACACAATATTACAGAAGTAGAACAGGAAGTGCGACAGAAGAACCTAGATTTGCAGAAAGCTGAAGCTTCTCGTGGGAAGATTTCAAAAAAGCTATCAATTACTGTGGATAAATTCGATGAGCTCCATCATCTCTCTGAAAACCTTCTCGCTGAAATCGAGAAACTTCAACAGCAAGTGCAAGATCGAGATACCGAGGTTTCTTTCTTAAGACAAGAAGTCACAAGGTGCACCAATGAGGCTCTTGCTGCTTCTCAGATGGACACTAAGAGAGATTCAGAAGAGATCCAAACTGTACTTTCTTGGTTTGAGACGATAGCTTCGCTACTTGGCCTAGAAGATTCACCTTCCACTGATGCTCACAGTCACTTAAACCACTGCATGGAGACATTTGAGAAAAGGATTGCGTCTATACTATCTGAAGTAGACGAATTACGGTTGGTTGGACAAAGCAAGGACGTCTTGCTTGAAGCTGAGAGGAGTAGAGTGGCTGAGCTCAGACAGAAAGAAGCAACTCTTGAGAAATTCTTACATGAGCAAGAATCTCAACCAAACATGTCAACAAGCTCGTTATCAGAGATTGTTGAAGTGGAACCTCTGGTAAGCTTTGAGCCTGTTGGGGATAGTTACACCATTCCAGATGCCTATAAATCTTTAATTTCGATTTCTTTTCTTTGGGTATCGCAGATAAACAAGTGGACGAAAACATCGATCCCATCTCAAGTCCGGAGTTTGCGTAAGGGAAACAACGATCAAGTGGCCATTAGTATAGATGCAGATCAAGCTGATGAAAGCGGTAGCTTAGAAGAAGATGATGATAAAGGTAACCAAACTTGGCCTTAAATATTTAGTACTTTAGTTAATCGCTTCACATTCTCTTAATAACATCCCCATTTGTTTTTTGTTTTGTTGGGTTTTTTAGCTCATGGTTTCAGATCACTGTCTACGTCGAGAATCATTCCTAGATTCACAAGACCCCTAACTAACATGGTCGACGGTTTATGGTCAGCCTCTTTACATTCATCGATCTCATTCAGTTTAAAGTTGTTAATAATGATCTAACATAAATGGTCCTTTCACTTTGTTGGTTTCTTTGTCAGGGTCTCTTGTGATCGGACGCTAATGAGACAACCTGCTTTGCGGTTAGGGATCATGATATACTGGGCGATGTTGCATGCTCTTTTGGCTGCTTTCGTCGTCTAACCAAACTTCCAATTTCGTAAGCTCATTACTGACCTTTATTTTTAGTAGCTTCGTTTTCAAAGCAGCGTTAATACGTGGTTTTAATGGGTTATTATATATCTGCAGCTGGTTTCTCGTTATAGCATGGGCTCAAAGTGGTGTGTTGTCTTCTTCACTAAATGTTTGTTTCTGTCCTTTCTTCCTTGTTTAGCTTTTATTAACCAAGCGAATTGTGGTTTCGCCATTTTTATTGATCCCAATCACAAACTGCTTGGCTTTACAAACGAATAAGAAATATAGTTTATGTAGTTAGCTGTTGGAAAAGATTAACCATGGATTAGAAGTTTTATTTCTATTTTTCATTTACATTCTTTAAAAAAATACAAGACACCACATTTACCAAACTAAAAGGATCAGATGTACTGAAATGTTCATTCTTCATTCTTCATTTGATTATTCGATATTATTACCTGTTTGTTTTGATTTTACGAATAACTTGCAAGTTACAAGAGACACAAGTACAAGGCCTGTTCGAATTATAAACTATGGAATTTCTTTTTATAAAACTGGCATGAAAAGGCCTGTTCGGAGCCCAATAAAAGGATCAAAATTTAGGCCCAAACCGTATATTTTATTTTTAAAATTTGGGCTTTATTTTGTTTGTGTTAAAAAAAAGAGCAGTTGACGCGCTAACAAACCCCTAGGGAAAGTGTCTTGTACAATTTCAGATTCAGAAACCCTAGTTTCTCCCACGACAAGCTGTTCTTTCTCCTCTCGTCTCTCAGAGCTGCTTGGAATCTTTCGCGTCTTCTCGCAAGGTAGTTCAGCTCACGCCAAGTTCCTTTCTCTCTTCTCGCTCTTAATTTCATTCTTTGCTTCCTTTTTGTTAATCCGATCTGGTGAACTACTTGAACCCGTCCCTTCGTGGATCTCGAGACTTGTGTATTTCGTCATCGAGATCTCTATAGTGTTGATAAAATTTATGGTTTCGATAGTGAACAAGTCCTAATTCTTTTGAATGTTTTTGCTCAAAAAAGATTTATAACATTGAAAAGTTTTTGTGCCACTGACACAGATTATATAAGAAATGTCGCGAGTGTACGTTGGGAATTTGGACCCGCGGGTTACTGAGCGTGAACTTGAGGATGAGTTCCGTGCTTTTGGAATTATCAGGAGGTAAGAATCGATCAATTAATGCTACTACGATTTCGATATTTAAGTATCTGTTTTGCATTTCTCTTAATGTTTCAGTTATTATGTGCAGTGTTTGGGTTGCTCGTAGACCACCTGGTTATGCTTTTCTTGATTTTGAAGATCCTAGGGATGCTCGTGATGCCATACGTGCATTAGATGGTAATGCATTCACATTCTTTTTAATTTTGCTTTGTTCTCGAAGAAGTTTACAATATTGATTAAGATCGGAAAATAAGTGTGGTGAGATCTTTAAATGGGACTCTTTGTTGTTTCGAGCTACTTGTGTGACGACCTATGACATAAAATTTGACATTCGTATTCTGACATTGGATAGGCAAGAATGGCTGGAGGGTTGAACAGTCTCACAACCGAGGTGAACGTGGAGGTGGTGGTCGTGGTGGTGACCGTGGAGGTGGCCGCGGTGGTTCTGATTTGAAGTGCTATGAGTGTGGTGAGCCTGGTCACTTTGCACGTGAATGCCGTAACCGTGGTGGCACTGGGAGGCGTCGCAGCAGGAGCCGTAGTCGCAGTCCAAGATACAGAAGGAGCCCAAGCTATGGACGGAGGTCAGTTGTGCTTCTAATTTTATTTCCTTATTTGCAAGTGAAATCAAATTGGTCTAGCTTCTGTGAACAGATTAATTAAACTTGCTATTTTCTGGCTTCAGGAGTTACAGCCCTCGTGCAAGATCTCCCCCTCCTCCAAGACGCCGCAGTCCTTCTCCTCCTCCACCCCGTGGTCGCAGCTACAGTAGATCACCACCTCCATACAGAGCACGTGAGGAAGTGCCATATGCTAATGGGTAAACTTCTTTTCCCAATTCTCTATATCATAACCAATGTTTTTCCAATTGATATGCCATTGAGTTGATGTTTGACCTAGAATTTGAATTCTTAAATTATGGCTGTTGTTTTAAAGATGGATGTTCACTTTTTTTCACATGCATCTGAGTGCTTGCCTCTTATTACCGTTAGTGGATGTGTCCAATTCAATGACTGTTTGTGTATATGCAGAAATGGACTGAAAGATAGACGCAGAAGCAGGAGCTGAGTTGTTTTGCTGGATAACGAGTTTGTGGGATGATCAAGAAGTATTACTTACTTTGGAAGAGAAGACGAGTGGGCCTAATGGAAATTACTATCATCTATGAATTTCAGTAAGAAATTAATATAAGCTTGCTACTTTTGCATTTGGATATGAAGCGTATGTAGTTCTGTATCTAATCCACCTAGTTTCTTAAAGACGTGGTGTTCTGTTTGGAAATTCTGCTTAATGCTTATGCTTTTCTTGTCTTTTTTCCACTTTGTCGAGGTTTCTTCTGGTCTACTACTACTACTACTACTGCTTCATTGCTTATCTGCTTGCTTCTCTACTCTTCTGCTATGAAGCATCTTCTTTTAGTTGCTCAGCCTGCTATGAAGTATCTCATTGCTTATCTGTTTTGCTTCTCTGCTCTTCTGCTGTGAAGCATCTTTATTTATTTGCAAGGCCTGCTAATGAAGCATCTTCGTTTATTAATTGCTTGTTTTTCAACTCCTCTGCTATGAAGCATAGTTGCATGACCTGCTATGGGAAAAGCTAAACCACGATTGTGGATCCCTACATGGCTTGGTTCATCTTCGTCTTCATCTTGGACTCTAGTGTTAGATGTTACCTTCTTCGCATGGCTTATCTTTTCATGAACATGAGCTACTACATCACTCGGCAGGTTAGGAGTCTTAGAAGCACTGTTGAGCTACATCATCTTCATCTTTGACTCTAGTGCTTGCCACCTTTTAGACCCATTTTAGAAGCCTCTCTTTTTGAATGTCTTGCATTATGTTTAGCTTAATTGTTGGTATTTGATCAGTGAAACGACTTCATTTGTGTCGTTAGCTTAGATTTTGTCCATATCTTGTTTTGTATACAAGTCAAGAATGGACAAGTTATTCTGTTGATATTGTAATAATGTCCAATTAAGGACCCATACTGACAAGTCAATACTGGACAAGTTGCTTGGTTTTGTGTTAATTTCACTGAGTAGTTGTGAAATACTGAAATTGGCCTTGTAAAGTTGAAGGAATATGTAAATGCGATTTGCTTGTATTGAAGTTATTATGGATTCGTTTCCGCAACTATAAAGTTTCCGAATTAATAAAGTTACAAATAAAGGAATAAATTACAAATTAGACACGAAGACATGGTTCTTGCATGACCAAAATAAAAAGCCTAGAAAAGTAAGAAAGACAAGATCATGATCCTAGTTCGGTCCCAGAATCATCAACAAACCCACTCTATAAAATTAAAATCTGTTTGGTCCCATTCGTCTTCACTTGCACATCATTGAATTGATTGTTGTATATGACGTGATTCACTTTATGCTTCTTCTCATTCCACATCCTCTGCCGACACTTTTTTTTTCGCTCCACGTTTCTTCACTTTTCGCCGACACTAAGATGAGAAATTCCTATGTTCAGAGAAAACAATAAATGTTACTCTCTTTCTCGTTTCAGTTTAGTCAGAGTTCTTGTTATTTACAGTTACAGTCTCTTTCCACAAAGGTTAGGTTTTAAAATTACATATATTCTCTTCAGTTGATTTGACATGGATCAAGAAAAAAGCTCTTTTAACTGCCAACAACATGTTCCAACTTTACAGATATTGTATACATGTATGAATCTTTGGCTCACACTCTATCCCTAACAATGGAGGAATCGAAGAAACATAACAAAGAAACAAACAAAACGGAAAATCAATTAATGCCTACCACTATGGTTCCAACAATCTCATTACAGAGGATACCATTGAACATAAGAGGGAGTGGGGTATCAAACTCACTGATTTGCTGACTCCTTTTACGGAATCTATGAAAGCTTCTTTGTTTCTCTCAGCTCATCTGTTCGCCTATGAGGTCGAGACCCACGAGAAGAAAGGTGACACCTTGGAATAACAGGAAGTAGAAATGCACTCCTTGAGCTGCCAAGAGACTCCTAAGCGCTGCAGTTAGCAAAAGAAACGCCAGTGCGAGCTCTTTGTGGTATATCTTGTTGGTTTTCTTGACGGGCTTCTTTGCTTGTTTCTGCTCTTCGAGTTGGCTAAGCTCCAACAGCTCGCTGTCGGAAACTCCCCTAAGCAGTTGACTTTTCTTGTTTGGTGCCTCTTTCTCCGTGATAGATAAAAGATCTGACTCTGATGATCTTCCAGCTTTTTTTGTGACAATCCACTCGTAAGAGCTACCCAATTGGAATAATCCGGATACCATAGCGTTGAACTTGGTGACGGACATTGTGTTCTCGAACAAAAGGTAAGGGACGATGAAAGGGAATGATTTTGGGGATGGAAGTAGGTTGAGGAAAGACATGAAAACCGGTATGTAGCAGATGACCCAAACAGGGAGCTCAGCTTCTGGAACAAACATGGTCAGTGGAAGGATTATGCAGAACAATGTGAAGGAGTAGAAAGGAAGTATAAGTTTCCTTAGAAGGAAGAAGAGAAGTATCAGATTCGCCTTCTTCCATATAGCTATCTACAAGAAGAACAGAATGAGAAACGGAAGAAGTCCGTAAAATGATGAAAAAAGATATAGTTGTACTTTGCAGAAGAAATAAGCTTTACACTACCTTAGAGGTCAAGATTGAACCAAGACACAAGCGGAAAAGCTGCATAGGTCCTGAATGCCAACGGTGTTGCTGCTTCTTATATGCTTCATAGGACTCAGGAACTTCACAAAGGACCTATAGATATTTTCATTCGAGTTTAATTAAATGGTTACATATGTAAGGTTTCTGTAGGAAAGATTGACAAAAGGTAATACCTTGACATCGTTAAGATAGATGAACTTCCATCCATGTAGATGAGCACGGACTGCTATGTCCATATCCTCGACGGTGGTCCTTTCAAGCCAACCACCAGATTCCTCGAGAGCTTTGATTCTCCAAACTCCCGCTGTTCCATTAAAACCGAAGAAGTTCAAGAACACGCCATTCACTTGCTGCTCCACCTCAAAATGAAAACACAGATTGATGTTTTGAAGACGAGTCAACAAGTTCTCGTCTTTGTTCACAAATGTCCATCTAGCTTGAACTAGACCTAACTCTGGGTTATCCTGAAGAATTATCACATTTTCACCAATTTTCACCAAGTTAGATCTCTCTCTCTCTCTCCATTTATCAATGATAGAAACATGAAACCATTTTGACAAAAAAAAGAAACATGAAACCAATGTTTAGACCAACCTTGAAGTGTGGAACTGTTAGTTTAAGGAAATCCGGTGTAGGTTGAAAATCGGCATCAAATATTGCGACATACTCGTATGCTTCCACGTAATCACAGCTCATAGCAGATTTGAGGTTACCAGCTTTATATCCGGTTCTAACCAAGCGATGCCTGTAGATTATGTTGACTCCCTTTTGGCTCCATTTGGCAACCTCAGCTTTAATCAACTGTTGGATGCTTTCATCATTCGAATCATCGAGAACCTGAACCAGTATTCGATCTTTTGGCCAGTCAAGTTGACACACAGCAGATATAGATTGTTCATACACCTGAACATGAAGAAGACTAGAGATTATAACATTGAGAGATTGAATTGATACTATAAAGGCTATATATCAGGAGAACCAAAGTTGAATAAGCATACCTCTCTCTCATTGCACATTGGAATCTGAACAAGAACCATAGGATACTCAAATCCAGATCCCTCAGCATCATCATTGCGGAACGGTTGCTCATCAAATCTCGGCTTGATTTTCTTAAACTTGATCCAAAAACAACCCAAGCAAAGTATCAAACGATCTACGGACTGTATAAGGAATAGCACAATACAAAACTTGGAGAGAGCTTTAATCGGAGGAGCAATATAATCAGCTCTTAGGCTTAACCAACCAACATACACAAGATGAAGCAGGCTCTGGATCTCAAGTGTGCTAGTGGGGATGTGAAGATTAGGGCTTTGAAAGTAATGCCATCCTCTGAAATAAGCAACAATCTCAAACCCGAGAATCACTAAGGAAACAGCTAAGAAGAGCTTAATGGCCGTGAAAAGCCATCTGTCTCTGCCTAATTTCTCAGAGCCCATTGGCTGAGTGAAACTAAGCCGTTTCTTGATAGCACCAAGGAGAGACCAGAAGACAGTGGCGAGCCAAGTGAGACATCCAACAGCTCTATGAGCTTTGAGAAGCAAAACCCAAGTCACTTGCTTAGCGTTCTTACCTCTGCTCTTCTCCACTGGTCTGAAAGCTGAATCAGGTCCGTCGATTTCAAGTACTGAGTAATTAGGATTCTCCATTTTCACTACAACTGGTGTTCCTTTCCTCGTATCCTTCGCCCACCAATCTGAAAAATCCAACCTTGGGGCCATCTTTGTCTCTAATAAATCTCTTTGAGAAGTAGAGAAATCGAAAACAGAAAGAGCAGAAAGAAGATGAAGTTCTAAATGTGGCAAGGATCCCAAAATAAACACCCAAATCTCAAAGTGTAAGATTTTAAGCAAAACCCATTTTCAGGAAGACAACAAAAAGGGAGCAACTTTGAGTGAGTAAAAAAGATACTTCTCAAGAAAGGAGTGAGCTTTCTACTAATAATGGAAGACCCAGATCCCAGAAATCTGAAATCTAGAGACCCATTTTTATGAAATTTTTATAAACCAGACAAAGAAGCATCCACAGCTCAAGGCTCATTTATAGTGGACCTTTTTTTAGAGAATGACAGAGAGAGAAGGATGGGTTGGTGAGAGAGAGGAGTGAGTCAGAGAGAAAGAGAGAAGCAAAGCAAAGCAAAGCAGAGGAGTGAGGTGGATGAAAGAAAGAAAGAAAGGTATCTCTGATCTGTGAGAGAAGTTTTTGTAAGTATGTCTCTCTTACACTTTCATGTGTGTGTTACTCTTTCAGCTACTTCCTTGATGGCCTCAGCATGCAAATTCATCCCCCTTTTTATCACTCTTTGTAAGCTTTCACCAGCACTTGTCATGTCATGTATCTTCTTCTTTCATTACATTAGAAGAAATATTTAAATTTTTTTGTATATTCGAAATCAAAAATATTAAAGAAAATCCAATGATGGATGGACCATATGGTTGTTTGGCAATTTGAGGTGATGACAAATTCAAATTTGTGAGCTACTCATATCTTTTACTGGAACAAGTTTTTTTTTATAAGAGATACCACCAAATCGGTTCAAAGTGAATCACTCAAAATGGTCTCACCGCTTCTCCTACGTGCTCCCCATGTCATTTTCCATGTCCGTCATATTATATTTTATACATATAGTAACATTCCATGTTTTTAGTAGTCCATTCAACTTTAGTTTTTCTTGTATCAAGTATGTCATCAACTTAATAATAAAGAACAAAAAAATGCATATGGTTGAGTCATTTAGTCAAGAGGACTTTTAATTTACTTGAAAAAGTGTGTGTTGTAGTCATAAACTTACGAGTCAAACCCATTCACTGTTTATAGAAATAAATGCAACTCGATATTTTGAATTCCATAATCAAGAATTATTTGTACATGGGAATTATTATAATCTGCAGATGTTTAGGATCGTAAGGAGGGAAACAATTACAATTGTTGATGATCTGTTTTTTTTTTCTTTAAAGTTGGAATGACCAATTGACAAAAGTACAATAACAATCAAAATAGATGGTCAAGTTTGTTGACTAATAGCAGCAAGAAACTTCTAAATAGTGCCGCTAATTATGGTCATTTGTAAACGAAAACAAAAAAGTTTAGTGGTGTGTCTTTGACAAAAAGAAGTATATAGGATTCATTAGCAATAGGGATAATAACAATCTCCCGATATGAAAATTACATCTAAAAAGTTCGAACCAACAATTAGGTTACGCTGAGTTACTTGTCGGTGGTGATATTAACACATGTACAAACTCTAGAAGATAAGGATATTCTTTTGGCATTTTTAAGGTTTATTTTTTACCATACAAATACCTAACGTTTTATGAAAGTAATCATATAATAAACTATAAGCAAAGGAAAAGCGAAAAGAATTAGTATATATATATATATGTCGTTCAAGAATAATTAATTTGTGTGCTAGTTATACTTTTTTTGTAATGTAATACCTTTTCTAGTTTGTTTTCCTTGTAGCATCTACAAATCCTCTTACACAAACCAATCGGTGCCTATGTAACAAAAAAAATCGTCAAGTAGAATAAAGTTAGAGTTAGGATATAACATGCAATACGATTTTAATAATATTGGCTATTATAACGTAATAAAATGATACTTAAAAATGACCTAGTTTTCTTTTCAATTTACTTCAGAATCGTTATCTTTTTTTTTTTTTTTTTTTTGTATACATTCCTCGGTATAATCACAAGTCTGCCCTAACAATAATTCAAAAATTATTGGACAAGATATATATATGATTAAGAGTGTGTGTTTAAAATGAATCCAGGTTAATCATGTATATATAAAGAGGATCGCTTATGTCTTTAGTGAATGATTGATTATTACTAATTTGTTATCAGTATCACTTTTGAATTATGATATTCGTTCAACTATGTTAACATATTATCTTACATACAAGTGCGTTACACTCTCTACTTTTATCAATATTATTGTAATTAGTGGATGGATACACTCATTCAAGAGAATTTTTCATTTTTTATTGATCAAAGTTTTTTTTTTCTATTTTTTTGTAAAAAGTTTCTCAACTCTTCCAAAGTAACATCCATTGCTTTTCTAAAATTTGAATATTCCGAGCAATATTTTGTTCTGTTAAGACCAATAATGTTGTCCTAAAATGGGTCTCGAACAGTGTTAACGAATGTATTAAAGACTTGAACAGGTAGCTGACGCTGTAATGACTCTCATGTGCTGTCTTTTCTATCACAAAAAAAAAAAAAAATGTGTCTTAATCTAAAGGTATTAATTAGTAGTAGACCCATTTTAATAACTTTTTTCCACAATTAAATAGAACAAACATTTCATGTGTTCTTCTAACTATTTGATAGTTGATAGTTGATAGTTGATACCCAACACATGCCTGATGTTTTTGTTGTATCGTTGTTATGCTACGGCCACAACTTTACAACTTTATCGACATATAATAACTGATATTGAATAACCTATTTGAAATCACCTGATCAGTGCAAGGTTGATTCTTATCAAAATTCAGTTACTTTAATGGCTTCTCTAATCTCTCACTTTTAGATCCAACCGAGAAGATTGGACCTGAAGGCTGAAGCTACTGTGATTCTTGAAACTTGAAAGTTTCTTGTTATACCGGTTTTACTGGTTCAACTTCTATCTAATACTTCGGTTCTTTCGGATCATTGGTTTGAATGGCAAAGACTATAACCCCCACTATGCCTTCCACTTCCAAAGAGATAACCAAACCCAACAAGTATCAGAAATACAACTTTTTTGTGACAAAGGACATATGTGACGCGCAATCAAATACAAATCAGATCTCGAGTCTCATTTTTTGTGAGCTTCCAAATCAGACATTAGCTTAGCCGGTTTAGCCTTTTTCTGTCGGTACTTGGCGTATGAGTACCACACACCACCAGCTGTATTGACCACTAAACCGGACACGTTCAAAGCATGTACTTCAACACCACCCAAGAGGACAAAACCGAGAGTCTAGGAGATTAAAAACGAAGCAAAGATAAGTATAAGACTAATAAATGCTTGCCTCTTGACTTGAAAATGAAGAGACTTTCATCTCGAAACAGAGCCAAATGAGAGTATATACTTACAGTGGAACCAACGCCTTTGAGGACACCAACGATGGTTGTTGTTAGTGCAGAGTTCACAATGGTGCAAAGAAACATGGTGAAGTTGAGGACAATGCCCATTACCAGTGAAAGAATGAGAATCACCAAGAATGGCAAATAAGAACACTGTCGAACAGAAGAAATAGTTTGACCTTTTAAGAAATTAGTTTCTGAGAAAAGCCGCAAGCTTAGAGTGATGAACGTTTCTGACCTTTGCAAGTAAGAGAGATAGAGAGTTTGGGAATTCGCCGGTAACTATGATGAGGAAGGACAAAAATGGGAGAGAAAGGAAGCTGTTATAAAACATTATCTCGATCGAGGAAAGCCCGTCTTCTGCACCAGACTTCTCAACCAGCACAAGGTACATGGTCTGCAGCGATGAGCATGAAACGATATTGGTTTTATCATATGGTTAATGGGGGATTGATGCAAGGGAAGGAAAAGAACAATGAAACCAACCTGGAAAAAGACAGATGTTAAAGCCAAACCATACCCAAAAAGGTCAAAAGAAAAATCTCCAAGAGCTGCAATTACACAACCTGCAGCTGTCAGTAGTACAGATAGAGCAACCTGAAAATTCAACAAGAGATTCATTGCTTGTTTCATTAGCAAAATTGAAAAATAAAAAGATGAACCTTTTCATAAAAGATTAGAGTGGCAAATACCTGAGTGGTTGGTTTGCCTTTACCAAAGAGGAACCCAGCAATCAAAACAGCGAGTGGAGTGAGTCTCTTAATGGCGATATACATTGGAATATTAACTCCTTTCAAGCTTGCAAGAGCAAATGCAACGTTAGCATTGTAGAAGATCGAAACCGGGAGTAGCTTTTTTGCGGTGGCCAAATCGATTCCTTTAGCTCTTGTGTATCCCATTCGTCTGCCAAAGTGTATAAGCAAAGAAGTTGCCAATTGCTAATACAAACCAAAAAAAAAAAAAAAAGAAGGACCAATTCATAACCAGCATTTTGAGGAAGTGAGTAATCCTAGTTAAGTAGATATCAAATACTGTAGTACCTGTAGGGTAAGAACAGTCATGGAATGTGGATACTGCATAATAACAGCTTTGTTGATAAAAACCATTGCCATGGAAGCAATGCCATATGAAACAGCTGAGATTAAACTGCATCATAGAACAAACATAAGCTTACTTATTCTCTGCACAAACATAACTTTGATTCTCTGTAAATCTCGAGATCTAGATCTACCCTGATGAAGAAGCGCAATTCAAAGTATCCAAGTTAATAACTTTAAGAAGCAATCGAATCCACGAAACCAATAAATGTATCCCTAACGCGTCCTAAATCGATCAGATACTTCCCTAATCGAATTGAAAGAAGCCATGAACAAAGAAAAAAAAAAGGGATCAAATTTGAAGAAGAGAGCAGGAATTAGAGGAGAGTAGAGTACCTAATGGACGAGCTAGGCTCCATTTCAGCTTGAACCTCCATGGGAATGAAGAGTGATTTGAGATATATAAATCTTTTGAAAAATCAGTATTGGTGGTATGCACAGAAATCAAAGAAAACTTTCCTCAGGAAACACGTTTTGTGGGTGATTCAACGTGATTCAAGACGTGCATTTCGAGAAGAAATTGCGATAATCATCTTTTTATTTGGATATACAGTACAGTTTCTTCCCTTGGATTGAGGATCTTAACCGAGAGCTCGAGCGAGGAGAAGAGGTCATTGGAGCAGAGCTTCCCAGTAAAAAGTCAACACTTAATAGTCAAAAAGTCAGTAACCTTCTGTCTGAACAACAAGGTCTATAACACGTTTCTGCTCCCACCAATAAACCGTTTTGTGTGCGGCTCATCTCAAATAGTTAAGCCCAAAAGGCCCAAAGGCTTCTATTTTTACTAAAATTAACCAAATAAAAATGATGCGATTACAACATTTCATTTCACGGCTATCAGAAATCATATCTTTCAGACACAACCAAAAGAAAAATGGACAAAACTGTCAAAAGTCAAAACCTATTACATAGAGTATCCTTTGCCAACATAGGTGATGAATGATGATGGGTTGGTACTTGGTTACATGCACAATTATTAATCGTGTAAGAAAAAGATGAGGGCTAGGTTGTACAGACTACACATACTCCGTTAACCAATGTGATAGATTCACATCAGCTTTTCCGGTTTTACTAGATTCGATTTACCTTTTTTGTAACGTAATTAAAAGAAACAACAATGTAACGTCATCATTTACTAGGAAGACGTGAGAACTAGAACACTAGAACTAGAAGGAAAGAGTTGCTCTGTTTTATTGCTTTCTATCTCACTCTCTGCCCTAAACCATCAACTGAGATTAGTGTGAACTATTCAACAATGGCAGATCCACCACGTTTTTCTCTGTTTCACCAAAAGTTTCTTACCGGAGATAAACCACTTCTCGTAATGCTTTCTCTCTTTTGCCTTTGGTTAAAGTTACTGTCTTTGGTTAAATGGATAATCAACTGTTTCTTTTGTATTTTTTGCAGACTCTTCATGCTGAGTTCTTAATGAACCACATGAAAGTGTCACTAATATCGGACGCGTCGGACAAGGTTTGGAAAGTGAAACTGGACGGCGGCAGGCTCGCCGACGGCTGGGAAGAGTTCACCGGCGAACATAAATTCAGAGACGGTGACGTTTTGGTTTTCAAACATCAAGGAGATGATGTCTTTCATGTATCTGTGGCCTCCGGATCTGTTTCCGGTGACATACATCACGCGTCGTCTAGCCACGTTGATACTGAGGATACTTGCATTGCTGATGACTATGTTGATGATGATGATGATGATGATGATGATGACGAAACTAATGATGATGATGATGATGATGGGGAAAGCAAAGATGCTGCTGATATTGATGATGATGGGGACGGGAATAGAGCAAGTGAGTTGTTTAATGAAACTACAGAATGTATATATCTCTGTTTAATTTTTGGGTCTAATTGGTTTGGTGACTATGTAAGTGAAGACTGTTTTGATTCAGGGAACAAGAAATCAGAAGATTCTTCATCACGCCACTCTTGTTTCATCACAGGATGTGTTACTCGCTATAGCCTCAACAAGGATCGTTTGGTGACTACTAAACTCCATTTTAACTCTGTTGTAACAGTCAAGAGTATAGCATTGTTGAGTGATCTGACTTGTTGAAGATGTTATTGCAGGATCTTTCTAGAAAATATACGGTGTTGTTTGGTGAGCACCAAAAAGCGTGTGAGATCGATGTAATGAATGAGCAAGGGAGAATATGGACAATGAAACTTGCAAAAAACATCTCAAGTGGTGTGTTTTACATCAGAGCAGGCTGGGAACACTTCTGCTTTACTAATGATCTAAAACAAGGAGATTTATGTAAGTTTAAACTTTTCCAAAATGGGAAAAAGCCTGTGCTTTGGTTGTGCCCACAGGAACCTGGCAATGACCATAAAGAGAAGAGAACGTTGGATGAAGTTTCAAAGGCAAAGGAGAAGAAGGCTCCTTCACCAACTGTGATAGTAAAGTATACACCAAGCCGTGACAGTACCGGGCAGCTAGTAAGTTCAAGAACTTGTTGTCAACTTGTCATGAACTTTTTTTGTGGACATAGTCATGACCTCATGAGTTTAAGCGTTTGATACTGAATGAATCTTTTTTCAGTCACTTCCAGTGAGTTTCACGAGGGAGTATGGCATTAAGAAGGCAGGGGACGTAATTCTGCTGAACCAAGATGGAAGGAAGTGGTCGTCTTATCTACAGATAACAGGACTTGGACGAGGCGGAAGTGAATGGTTTTATTTGAGAAAAGGTTGGAGAGAGATGTGCGAAGCGAATGGAGTGAAGGTCAATGATTCCTTCAAGCTGGAACTGATGTGGAATGGTGAAACTCCTATGTTTAAGTTCTGCTCTAAGGTGAACAACTAACACAGCTTTGTGTATATAAAAAGATCACTGGCTTGCTTAGAGAGACTGAAGAGCTAAAACATTTGTATATAAAGATGCTAAATGATCTCTTGAGTTCCTTTCAGATTGACAACCATGAATACAAGGGAAAAGGAAACCAAAAAACTTGTAAGAAGAGAGCTTGTGAGACTGCTCCTCAACCAAGGAATGTGAAAAAGACTCCAAGAGTAGGAGTAGAGGGACAGGTTAATAAGAGAATAAGTAGCGGACCATTGCAACCACAATCTTTCTCAGTCTCTGATCAGGTGGCTAGTGTGAAGCAGGGAATTGTAGATACTCTGAACACTGTGAGACAGTGTCGGACCGAGCTTGAGACAAGTGAACAGAATCTGCAAGCCTCTTTGCTAGCAATAGACGCCTTAGGTGCGTTCCTGAAACAAGATCTTGCTGGTTTTTTCCATTTTTGTTTGACTTAGGTTTCTAATCTTGTGATGATGAAACAGGGGAGAGGATATGGGGAATCAGCAAAATCCTCAGCAATAATCTGATTTGAAGTGAGACTGAAGATGGGGGAAAAAGGAACAAGAGTATTTTGCAAGCACTTTTTGTGTCTTGAATCATTCAAAGGTGGAGTCAAGTAGTTTTCATTAGATTCTTCTCCTTCCTCCACCAAACTAACGTATGTTTATTATATATTTGAGATTTGCAAGTTCCGGAGACTGTCCACTTGAAAAGTTTGTAGTATGGAAGAGTTTGTAACTTGCCTCTTCCGTTGCATCAGCAATCTGGACTATTTCATTATATCTCTGAGAATTTTTGTTGTATTACAAATTAATCACCATTGGTTTTTCGCATATTTTATACTTGAGAATAAGAAATATATATATATGTCTTTTAGTGTTTACAAACTATGTACTCATCTCCATCGTTGAACGAGTTCCAGTTACAAACAAGATTTGCAAAAAGCTCGTGTTCCATTTCCTAATCTTCACTTTTAAACTTGAGGATTACTTGAGGATTTTGTTTATTTTCAATACTTTCTCCCCTGTTTATGTTCGACATTAAACATGTTAGAAACAGAGACCCAACATAGTCAAAGAAAACAAAGTGTTCATCAGCGGTTACTTGATTTGCTCATACCTAAAGCGTCAATTTCCAGCAACGAAGCTTTTAAACTTTGCTCCTTTATCTCAAGCTCTGACCGAAACCGTTTTATACCAGTCAAAATGTTTACAATACTCTGTTTCACATTTTTCGCTTCACCAGAGAATGAGCAGTGTTGAAGTGGTTGCTTGCGTTGCAAGATTTTTGGATCATCACTGGATTTGTTAGGTGCCTGAGTGCGGCGAGAGTGTCCTACTTCTACAGACACTCGAGCTCTCTTTTGGTATGGAGCTCCCGTCTCTTCTGGAGCCTCTTCTTGTTTTGCCTGAATAAACAATTCGTTTAATATTCTGATTACAATTCAATATAACAAAAAAGGTGACTTGAACCACAAGGTGTTTGTTCACCCTGACCTTGGCCATGAAGCAGAACTTGAGCATAGGAGTTGTGCCTTCTCCTCGAACAAACTCCAACGTGAAGGTCTCTCCCGTCTTTAACTTATTGGCTGCACAAAAACTTGTCCAACCATGTGCCATGTAAAACTCTTCTCGTTGTTTGGGAGAAGCTACATAGGATGGCCACTTCACTCCATTTTTGTCCACTAGAATGATCTCTTCTGCCTGCTTGATCCCGTTCTCCCTAGCAAATGATCTCGGAAGACGCTGCAGAAGTTTGAAAGCATTAGCAAAGTATCACAAAAATGCATAATCGAGTTAACCCTACACCTAAAGATGTTGAAAACTCACAAGCTGTCCTGACTGGAGCATATAATGCTTAAAAGTTACAGTCAGAAACTTGTTCTGCTTCGTCGAAGCACTCCCACCTTCCCTGCTATACTTCTCCGAAACATTAGCTTTTCCATTTGCTCCGGAACGGTTTCTTTCTGGAATAATATAAGAACACAACCGTAGCAAAGGCCTGGTCCTATTCAGAACAAGTTTAAACCGGTAGAACGATCCGGGTTTTAGCTCATTTGCATGACAGAAACTAGTCCAGCCTCCACTGATATAATCCTGACCATTAAAGTTGTCGTGTTGCAGACCCAGAGCCCATGATTCCCCACTTAGATTCATTAGATCAATCCCGCACCATCTTTTGCTCAAACCATTTGATCTCGACAAATGTTTTGAAAAATTCTGCAAAAAAAAAAGAACAAAGCACAAGATCAATGTTCATAAAAGGAACTCAAGGACAAGAACTCTAAAGAGTTTGATTCCAAGTAGAAAGAAACCACTCGATTTAGGCGTAGGTTGGAAGGTGTGACGCCGATAAGACAAAAAATTTCGGATGAAGAAGACTCTGCTTTTATTCTTGACTCCTTCTTCCTCGATATGTTCTTCGAAACTGATTCATCGTCCCCTGTCTCATCATCACCAGAGCTACAAGATTTACACTGTAGCTGAGAGAAACAGCGTCCGGAAGGTGTGACATGGAAAACCATTTCGCCGTCGTGTCTGAAAAGCAAAACGTCGTCGTCTCGGAGACAGTGAGCGGCTGAGAAATCGTCCCAGCCCCCAGCGAATCTCCGACCGTTCAGTTTCACATCCCAGGTTGTATCCGAAGCGTCAGAGGTCAGTTTCAATTTCCCTAAGTCGTTCAAATCCTTTAAGTAAGCCGTAGAAAACACTTGAGGAATTATCTGCAACAACAGTGACAACCAAAAATTTGAGTTTCGTGGTAGGTTGAGAATGAGAGTGAGATTACTGGATTGGAGTTGTGTCCAGCAAGTGATATGACGAAGCTTGGTTGAGATGAAGAAAGTGGAACTGCCATTGTTGAAAGCTCAAAGGAAATTGAAAGTCTTGATTTTTTTTCTTTACTCTTTTCAATGCTCTCGGGTTTTCCTTTTATTATAGCCAAATTTGACCATTACAGCATTTTTATTGGGAGTACGCTAACAATATTGTTGTCAACATTAATTTAATATTAAATTTGTAAGAAGAAAAGTTAGTTTTTGTAATCAAAAGATTTTCTTAATACCGGTTCTTAGGTTTTTTTTTTTTTTTTTTTTGACATTACTGGAATACTGGTTTTTAGCTTTTACAAAATTAACCTAAAATTCACATAAGATACTTGGTAATAATGTTGGTCTTACTCTTTTCGTCTAATCTCTCATCTTATACGTTTTGGTAATCTAACAAATGATAAAGGCATTTATATTGTTAACACGAAATTATCATAAAACCCAAAAACAACAACATTAATTAAGTAATGTAGCCAAATTATATGACGGAAACCAAAAAAAGAAGACTTAACCGAACAACAAAAATTAGTTAACTTGATGTAGAATTTACTTTTCTAATATTCTTTCTATCCAGTTTATTCAAAGTCTTTCTACACATCATCGTTTCCTTTTCCAAGATAGGCATGTTCTGTTCGTTAGCCCTCTAGGAGAGTTCAATCAAAGGGATATGGCGAATCTAATCCTTCTGTACAGAGTTTCTTTTCGAGCAACCTTTTTCAAGAATTTATTACTCATTTTCTTTAATAACATAAAGCGTTTTGTATTGTTTTGGTGATCTTGCTGAAATAAAATGGAATCTTGTTAACCTAAAGACAAAATATCTTTATTAGCTCTCCTTCAACGTGGTATGTACTAGATAGACAAGCTCTTATCTTTTTTATTTCATATTCTATATTTACATAAACATATATACTAGTATGAAATATATTCAAATTAACATAATAATTTTTAACATTTACAAAAAAATAAAAAAATAAACCAAAAAAAAAACGTAATAATTTTTGTTTCCTTCAAAATTAAACACAGGGGGAGAATGTGACAGGTTCAGTAAAACACAAGTAATCGAATAAATTTCCATATTTGGTTATAACAAGTTTAGTAATAACCAAACAAAAGTTTCATTCATCCGAAACATGTCAGTAACTTTATTTTGACTAAGACGTGAATGAGATAAAGGTGCCATGCAACACTTGACTCCATTGTTGCAAAGTACCTGGTCTATTTTCTAATCTTCATTTCCGATTTAAACTTCACTAATGTTGAAGATTTTGCTGATTCCTGTCATCTTTTCCCCTGTTTTTCCAACATCACATTATCAAAAAAAATCATAAGAACCAAAATAAACCCCACACACACACACACAATTAAAGGGTAGTTGTTCATTGGTAATTCAGGCCATACCTAAAGCATCAATTTCTTGCAGCGAAGCTTCTAGGTTTTGTTCCTTATTCTCCAGCTCCGACCGAAACCGTCTAACATCGGTTAGAGTCTCCACAATACTCTGTTTCACCTTTTTAACGTGATCAGAGATTGAGCAAGGTTGAAGTGGTTGCTTGCCCTGCAAATTTTCTGGATCAGTGCTACTTGGTTTGTTCAATCCCCTAGTGCAGCGAGATGGTCCTTCTTCTGTACAAACTCGAGCTTTCTTTTGGACCCGGTTCTCTGTTTCGTCTTCAGCATGCTGTGCTTGAACCGTCATTTGGGGTTTCCTCTCCAGAGTCTTGTGGCCATCAAACGATGCTTGCTTCACCTGAACACAATTCGTTTTAACACAGCAATTTCACAACAACATAAGTTCAATAACTAGTACAGTAATTGCTTTTGTGCTAACCTTGGAACATATCTTGAGAATAGGAGATAATCCTCCTCTAATAACCTCCAGTGTGAAGGGATCACCAACGTTCTTTATGCCATTGGCTACAAAGAACGCTTTACAACCTCTAATGTAAAACTGATCTCGCCCCTTGACGTTAACTAGATACGACTTCCACTCTTCGCCATCTTTGTTCACTATAGTTACCTCTCCTGCTTCCAGGATCCCGTTCTCTCTTGTCAACGATGCAGGAACACGCTGTACAAGTTTCAACACATTTAAGCCGATGACAACAACAACAACAAAGACTTGAAAGCCCTAAAATAAAGGTCTTAAAACTTACAAATTGGCATGTCCTTAGCGTGTAAGGTTTAAGGTCCAACGTCAGAATCTTGTTCTGATGCATTGGAACTGTCTCTGAGCAATGCTCAGATTCAATCTCATCAACTTCACTTTCAGAAACATTCTCTTTTTCGTTTGCTTTGGAACTAGAAGTGTTGGGGCACAGCTGTAGCACAGGTTTAGTTCCGCTTTGGACAAGCTTAAACCTACATGAAGATCCGGCTTTGATCCCGTTGCTACGGCAGAAAAGTTTCCAGCCTCCACGCATAAAAGCCTGACCAGTGCTTTTGTTGTGTCTAAGAAGAAGAGTCCAAGATTTTCCATGTTCATCTTTTAGATCAATGTAACACTCTCTCCCGCCCAGACCATTCGACCTTGCAAATTTGCTTACAAGACACTGCAAAACCATAACTTAATTACAGTGTAGCAAGAGATCAATGGAATAAAAAATTGTATAAACGAGTCAAGCTAAGCGAAATAGTAGTAACCATATTATCTCTTTTAAGGCTTGAAGGTGTGACGTGCGCAATAAGATAAGTTTCTTCAGATGACTCTGTTTCAGTTCTTGCTCTCTTCTTCGACGAAGTTTTCTTCAAACACAAATCCTCTTCGGATACTGGATTGTCATCATCTCCAAGATCGACATCATCGTCTTTATCATCATCATGAGCATCAAAAACATTGTGTTCATCGTCAGAGGTAGAAGAAGAGATCAACTGTATCTGAGAGAAACTGCGTCCGAAGGGTGTGACGTGGAAGGCCATACCACCGTCGTGTCTGAAACTCAAAACGTCGTCGCCGCGAACAGAGTGGAAGACAGAGAAATTTTTCCATCCGCCGGCGAATCTCCTGCCGTCCAATTGCACTTCCCAGACTCTGTCCGAAGCGACTGAAGTCAGTTTCAGCTTCGTTGACTGAATCTTACCCTTGAAGTGTTTCGTCATAAATTCAGCAGGAATTATCTGAAACAACAAATCAAGAAATACCAAAATGATTCATGCATTGTAACAGAGATGGAGACATCAGAGAGAGAGAGAAGGTGAGATTGAAAGGGAGTGAAAAAATACAGGATTAGAGTTCTGTCCAGACAGATCAATGACGAAGAAAGCTTTATTGTTTGGAGGGGAGATTAGTGGATCCGTCATTGTTGAACAGCTCTAGATGAATAATTCTTCTCTGAAATTTTGATTTTTCCAATTCTTCTTCTTCTTCTTCTTCGCTGGCGTTATGGTAGGGTTTTAATACTCACAGCATAACTCCTCTATTCTTGTTCATTTGTCGTGATTAACTCCTGATTTTATTGTCAATAAATAAATGATAGCCAAAGATATTTTATAGACAAAACGACTTAAATGGCAAGGTTTCTTTCCTCCTTTCTGATTTGATGGATGTAACTCGTTGGACTGAAAGTATTTATTTATTTGTCAGAATGAAAAGGAAAAAAAACGTCAATTTTTTCAAATTGTTTGATTGATTTGATTTTATTTTTCAGCTGTGATATGTCTACTTTATTATGGTGATATAATTATATAGGCTTATCTTCTTCTTTTCTTCTGATCCAATGCATTACAACCCTTATATATATATATATTTTTTTTTTTTTCAACCCTTATATATTAATATGTATATAGCACAATTTAAAAGTATAATAAGTGAAATATTTGATTCCTATATAATAGCATTCAAAATTTTAATAAGTCAGTTATGGCGGATGACAAAAAAAAAAAAAAAAAAGAAAAAAAAAGTCAGTTATGGCTTTTGCATTCACTGAGGCAGAGTAGAACTATATAGTATGAGTTAGGTTTTAAAAAACATTAAACAGTTTCTTTGTTAATCAGAATGATCCATTTTTATCCATAAAGTTGGAAGAATCCAGAATGCCTCATGCCTAGTTTTGTATATTCCATTATTAGGAAAACAGATTAGAACAAAATGTTCTGTTTTTTCCCCCACGTACACAACTACAAACACAAACTCAATGTTGGAATGTCTATCTTTGGTGTAGCCTCTGTTTCAAGTTCAACGATTAAATTCTAGCTAGCTAGATGCCTAGAATATGTTGATTAATTACGTGGGAGAGTGCTCCAAAGGCCAGACTAAAGCTCCATACCGCCGTAGAAATTAGATTTCAAATCATATTTTGCTCTTCGATTTCGTGTAACAAAAGCTTCCAGATTCCGTTCCTTTGTCTCTACAGTTTGGCCTGAAACCGTCTGATACTAGTCTCCTCTTAAAAAAACGATGTTTCATTGTTTCTGTTAACATTTGTTTCCAATATCTTAACTTTGATTAAAGAAGAAGATTCGAATTTTTATTTGTAGTCATTTATTATTAGTTCATAGATAAAAGAAATAAAAAGAGGTATATATGATGGTACCCAATCAGTAAATGAGGTATTACTTGTTAGCACCAACAAGAACAAGTGTAATGAATGAGAATAAAAGGAGTGAGTCATAAAAACAGGTAGCTGAAGCTCTCTCATTAATAAGAGAGGAGCCGTGCGAGGATTACCAAAAAGACACTCGTTAGCTAGCTTCTACACTTTGTTGGTTTTGTTTTTTTTTTTTCTTTCTAAAAACTATTAAAAGAATGGCGGATCCAGTTCTTCAATCTCCGGAAAACCCTCATTTCTTCAAGGTTCTTCTTCCAGGCTTCGACTCCAACCTGGTACTCTGTCTCTGCCTCTCTTTTACAAGTATAGCTTAGTTATTATGATAGATGGTTTCGTTTTGAAACTCTTTTGCATGTTGTTTCAGAACATTCCTATGAAGTTTTTCTCTGCATACATAGAAGGAAGATACGAAGGAAAGACAGTGGAGCTAGAATCCGACGCGTCTGAGAAAAGTTGGAAGGTTGAGATGGAAGGTCGGAGACTCACCTTCGGCTGGAAAGAGTTCGCCAGCTCACATGATCTCCGAATCGGAGATGTTATCATTTTCAGACACCAAGGAGCTTTGTTGTTCCACGTCGCTTGTTTTGGACCCAGTTGCTGTGAGATTCAGTATCGACAGTCTTGCAACGACGACGATCATCTTTATGATGATCAGGAAAACCTCAGTAAGTTGTCTTCTGTTCATGGAATTCACATTTTGGTTTTGAAAAATAAATAACCTTTTTCTTGTTATGATTTAGAAAACGAGTCGATGAAGCAGAGTCTAAAAACAGAAGTAGAGTCTTCACTAGACGAAGACAAAGATAACATGGTTAAGTCATGTATAAGTGAGTCTTGAACTCTGAACTTGTTGGTGTTTCAAGAACATATACAAGGTCTAAAACTTTTCCAACTTGTATGAGAACAGGAAAGCTTCCAAGAAAGAAACATAAGAGGATCCCTGAAGCAGATGCAAAGTCGTTTTCATCAGATGAGTTTCGCTTCGTTGCACGTCTAACAGATTCGAACCTACAAGAGGATACACTGGTTGGTACTTGATATTTACTTTTGATTTCTTTTGAGAGCCGTAAAAGTTGCTAATCATGATTTTAAGTTTTTTTACTTTGCAGTTTTTTCCAAAGAAGTTTGCTACGTCCGGTGCTCTGATTAAAGGAAGTAACAATATTGTTCTAATGAACGAAGTAGCAAAGAAATGGAGGCTAATTCTCAAGTTCAGAGAGTCAAGTAGAACGTTTTACATGAGGGATGGCTGGAGAAGTTTTTGCCATGAGAATGGGCTTAAACCTGGAGATGCCGTCACGTTTGAACTAGAGAGCAACAACTTGAAAACGCCTCTTCTTCGTTTCTCCACTGCAGAATTTACGAGTGTGTCCACTAAAGACTGCAACAAATTAGGAAAGATAAACAAATCTGGTGATAGTCAAAAAGTTTCATCATCATCTTCAGTGACAGTAAGTGAAGACCGATTTGTGACACTAACTGCCACACCATCCAGTCTCCAAAATGGTAGACTTGTAAGTCAAATCAACTCTCTTGGAGGAGTTTTGTTCCCTTGGTTTTGGTCATCACTTATCAGGAAATGTTTTATAAATTGCACAGTGTAAGCTTACTGCCTCCTTTGTGTGCAGCATCTTCCAAAGAACTTCGTTAAGGTTAACCGAATGGAAAACCTAGCAAGGAGGAAGATAACTCTGTTGGACAAGCATGGAAAAGACTGGGCAGTGACTTTAGTCAGGGAAAGGAGAAATACACAGACGCGTTTGGGTTTTGGGTTGAAAGATTTTTTCAAGGCTAATGGCACTAAGGCGAATGAATCTTTAGTGTTTGAGTTGGTTTGGGAAGACAAAACAACTCTTCCTTTGCTCAGATTCTGCTCCAATGCCAAGACTTACTCTAAATTGCGTCCAAGTTATTAGTAAGTATATCCTGTAATAGTGAATTCGTAACCTATATATGCAGTATAAATCCAATGTCTAGCTATGTAAGAGTTAACAACATATTTTATCTAGGGCTTGGAAACAAGTAATCAGTTCTACATATGATCAGTCTTTAGTACCATTAGTCAAGTAATGTAATCTGCAGTACTACTGTAATGTAAAAATTCAGAAGTTTTCTGCATAACAATATTGATGATGATGATGATTCTTGTTGTCATACATGATCTTTAATAGTTAAACGGCCGCTGCTTCTGGTGTCATTTAGCTTTCACCATTGAATTCTCAACTAACTCTAATATCTATAGACTCTAGCTAAGGTGCAAAGAAAAGAATCAGAGTAGTTGCCAATTAAAAAAAAAATCAGAGCTTGGACCGATAGGTTGAAGAAAGTCCTATTAGAAAAAGGGAAAGAGATAGCTGGAGTTCTCATAATGAAAATGTGAAAGACAAAAGCTTGACCATAAATTTAAGAAGGTAGAGTTAGAGGATTACCAAAAGCACACTTAAGTCATAAATTGAAGACTTGATAAATTATTCGTTTGCTTTGTGGAGAAGCGCTTTTTCCAACCTCAACAGTGGAGGATATAGTTCTTCAATCTCTCAAACCCACATTTCTTCCAACTTCTTCACCCAGGCTTCCACTTTCTGTCTTTCTACCAGCCAGTCTCAAATATTGTAGACTTGAAAGTTAAAGCAAGCTCTCGTGGTTTGAGTTTTGGGTTTTGAGGCCTTGTAAAGTGTACTGAGCAAGCTTATTATTTCCTATTCTATGCAGCATGTTCCGCAGAGCTTCATTGAGGGTAACAAGATGGCAGATGCAGGAGGGAAGAAGATAACTCTGTTGGAGAAACACAGAGTAGAGTCGCCAGTTAATCTAGTGGAACACGATGAAAATGGAAGGATACATTTGAGTGAAGGTATCAGAGATTTCTTCAAAGCTGCTGGCGTTATGGTGTACGACTATTTTTGGGTGGAGTTGGTCTGGGAAGACAGAAACACTCTCCCTGAGCTCGAGTTCTGCTTCAGGATCAAGACTTCAAGACCTTGACTCTAATTTGCATCCAACTTAATTGGAGCGTGTGATCGTTTTTAGTGAAAGTCATAACCTATGAGGTATGAATCTAATGTTTGGTTATGAACTATTTAGGAAAAAGCCAACGTGTCGATTTAAGTCAACAAAATACTATCTACTATAAGGGTCTTGATGATTCTGTCACATGAACGGCAAACAATTTGGTAATTCACCAGTAAGAACATTTAAATTCTAAGTATAATCACCCTTAAGAACCATATTTAAGTCATTGTGTAATAGTACCTACATCCCTATTGTAAGCTAGACGCTCTGTTGATTTTCATATGCTGTAAGTCTGTAACTCCACATCATTGAGCGTCGATCATCTTGGTATCCATATCTCTCACAGGAGGCTTAAATTGTGTACAGACCAATGGATTTGACGTTGTAGGGTCTGAACAAGTAAAGACAGCCTGATATTTCACCTCTGGATCTTTGTTCCCATTTGCTGCATCCTCTTGATGATCCGTTGAAGAGTCATCAATTGAAGGGTTTGACTCGGATTCCAATGTATCAGCCCTTTCAACCTCACTACAACAGTCAGAGATCAGCACTGATGGCGGTGGAGATGGTGATGGTGATGGTGATGGTGACGATGATAATGATGATGGTGATGATTCTTGTTCACATTCAGGGTCTTCAATGGTCGCATGGATGCTGCTTCTGCTTTCAATAGCTCCTACCATCGAACTCTCAACTAACTCCTTTAGGCAAGATTCTGTGTCTAATGTGTCTGTTTTCTTCTCATCTTGAACTTCTGATCTAAGACATGATGATGACGACCGAGCTTGAATCCTGCATGACATCAGAAACATAAATTAAGAAACTCGCTAGTTCAACAACCGCAGTCTTTTTATGTTTTCATCATATACAATCAATTTACTCAGCTCTTAATGGTGAAATAAACAGCCTCAATCTTGTGGTTATAGATTAAATTTACACGGGGAGCTGAACAACGAAAGACAGAAGGAGACAAGCATACCTGCTGTAGAGGAGCATATAAGCTCTTTGAGAAAGGACATCTTCTAATTCAACACTTTCTATCTGTGAGTATTTTTTATTATGGTTAGAAGATCCCTCAAAAAATTTGGAATCGTCATAATTCCATGCTAACAAGAAGAGCAGAAAGTAATATGAGTGTTGTTACCTCGGAATCATCTATTCTATACCAGTTTCCGCAAAAGTCCTTAATGTAGCATATGTAATGGCCGAAGAATGATGCATTCAGTATATCTAAATGGACAACCACTGCGTAGAGTTTATATACATCTGATCCTTCCCCACCTTCACTCATGTAAGGATTAAGATCCAATGTCTCAGGAAAACTTATTCTTTTGTTCAGTTTTCCGTATCTACCTCCCTGAACATAATTTCACAGATGTGTTATCGACGACTATTCCCAGAAGATATTTAGAAAAAAGTAAGGCAATGCTACAAATACCTGATATCTTTTTAAGGCAATCGTAAGAATATTTGGAGCGCGCCTAATCGTAAGACGCTTGCATGCCTTTACATAGTCTTTACACCTGGAAAGAGAAAATATTATTGGGTTTAACAAACATAGTCGATTTTTAAACTAATCAACTAACACACTGCTTAAGATTCATAGCTTTTTGGATTTACTTATCGTACCTATCACATTTGTACATATTATCTCCCTGAAGCCACTCTTCGGTTGTAAATTGATCAAGACATTCCTCCAAAGACACCGCATCCCCATGCATCTCAACGATTAGATCCATCATATTTTCATACTGATCAGAAACATGATTGCAAACAGTGCACCTAACCTGGAAAGTTGAAAATGCAGAAAATATGGGAAAAAGGCTCAACAGAGAAAGATAGAGAGAGAAGAGGACCATTAGAACTTAACGTAAGTTTACCACAGGAAGGATCTTGATTGTTTTTTAATCTACTGGAAAACAAGTTCCATATATTCTCTATGGGGGCAGCCAGCTAAAGACAAAAAGAAGTAGCATGTTGAATTCTACAATTCAAAAAAAAAAAAAGGAAAGAATACGTATAACAGGATATTTCCTAAGATCCCAATGCATCTATTGTTAGCTTGCCTTAATATGGTACATGAATGTACTATCACCATTCAATCAGACATATGAACATTTGACATTGAGATCAGGAAATATCACCTGTGATTGAAGGAGACCTCCAAATATATATTGGATAAGAGTTGTTTCTTGACAACGAAGAGGCACTATTTTTTCTCCACCGAATTCTTCTAGGCAAACTGACTGCATCATATCAATCGCATACCTAAATTATGTGAATTGTCTAAATCCATCAGTTGGGAGATTCACAGACAAAACACTTGGGAAATAGCTATGTTCATGAGTAAGAGATACTGACCTCATGAACTCATGAGCATCCTCCTGTCTTCCATACCCAAGAGTTCCACCAATATTAGTTAACCGTGAAATAATACTCATTGGTGAAAAAGGGAACCGACTTTGACTTGCTCTCTCAACATGGGTTTGAAATTCACAGAAGAAGCACCAATTGTTGAGCATACCTGTCAAACAAAACATAGGATCAAGGCTAGAGCGCATACAGAAAACTAAACTAAAGAGCTTGAAGCATTAATGCAAAGTGAAAAGAAAGAAGTTTTACATTCGCTCTTGTGGCCTTTCTCCAGCAAATATGAAACAAGAGGACGTGTCCACGATAGGCATTGTAGTATAACATTGGCAAAACAACTGAAAGAGAATTAAAGTAAATCATATTTAACGTAGAAAAAACAAACTCAATTCATTTCAATTGATGCTTGAAAGCTACATTAGAAAATAGATGAACACAAACCTATTTCCACAATTCATGAGCCCACAGGGAGCCAATTCTGAACTGCCCCAGTTAAAATATTCAACAAATTCTTCATACGGGAAAAGAACCTGAAGAAAGTTGCAAGAAAAAAGTACAAGTAAGATTTTCACAGTGACTCTATCAAGAAAATGTCAAAACGAGTTGAGAAAAAAGGAAGACACATTACTTCTCTTGGCTTGAGGATACTCTTGTTTCGACCCTGATCAGAAACCAGCGCAACCTCAGAAGCATATCTATTCCCAAACGAAGAAGCTCTGAACCTTAAGCCATTCTTTGCAGATGAGGTTAAGCTAGTAATCCCAACATCCTTGCATTTTCTTTGATGACGTGAACTCCAATCTGAACTTTGGCACTCTTCTGAGCTGATAACAAAGGATTTCAAATAACCAAATTAAAAACACAAGCTGTTGAAGATAATTCAAACTATCTGAGCTCATTTAAAATAAGTTCCCAAAATAATCTAAGTAACAACTTCCAAACTCATGATTCTTCTATTGAAAAGGCCACGACTTTGAAATAATTACACATCCGAAATGCACTAACACCAACTTTAAAACACACGGTGATCCAAGATAATTCCAAACTACCTGCTGCTCATATAAGCTAAATTCAGAAACAACAACTTCCAAACACAGGGTTCTTCTATTGAAAAGCTCAAGACTTTGAAAAGAATTACATATCACAAGCTCGCAAACATAGTAATAAGTCTCCCACTGGAGAGATCTTTCAATTACACTAAGCTCTAGAGATAATCCCAATACAGATATTGAGTTTGAGGGCATACCAATTTCGAAAGGATTTGCAGCTGGAGCATTTCTCCCCACAGACAGAGAAATCTTCAGCATCCACCGCCACGAATTCCCGGTCGAAACCTCCGGCGGCGGCGGCTCCGATGTCGAAGTACTTAGCAGCGGTGTTTCTGAGGAAGTAAAAAACACCAACGGCGAGGAAAAATAGAGTGGCAATGAGGCGAGTGAAGACAGAAAGATCCACCGGAAAACAAACCTCATGCATCTAATTGGCTTCTATAAATCATCGGTCTCTTCTTTCTTCTCGTGTCTTCTGTATCTTTTTATATTTCAAGAATTTCACTTTTATTTTTGTCTTTTCTTGTATTACCGCTTCATTGATTTTGTTACTTACTTGAGAAGACAGTGACACAGTGTTAGAGTGTGTTCTATGTTGGGTTTGGGCCTCTCCAATACAATTTATATTACTGACTGGCCCTTTAAGTTTTCTTTTTTCCTTTTATCAACTATGTTTTTTTGTAGTTGCTCGCAATATTTCCCTTTTTTTTGGCTTTGAATACTTTCTTTTTTCTTACAAAACTAAAATTGTATGAGATTATGAATGATGTCGAAAAAAATATGATAACAATTCTTTGTTTCTAGTAAAAGTCCTATATTAATAACCGAAGCAGTGGTCGACGAACTTCATAACATAAATACAAAATACTAGTCCGCTCTAAGAATAGAACGTTATAAAACATTAATTAACCCATTGCATCAGAACAAAAAAGAGAAAAATAAAATAACTCCATCTTCAAACAAAATAAAACAGAGGTTACAAGAGTTTTCAGGTTTTCACATTTTAAATCTGATTATTTACTTGAAGATCTTGTCTTGTTCCCATTGTCCTCTCCTCTCTCTGTTGCCATATTTAAAATGTTAGGAATTTGAGTAAAGCCAAAACCAAAACTAAACATTGGTTTAATAACTTATCAGATTAGAAATCATACCCAATTTGTTGATAGCCTGCAATGAATCTTCTAATTTCTGTTCCATTGGCTCGAGCTCTGCCAGAAAACGTCTGATACAAGTCAAAGTATCTACAACGCTCTCTTTCACCTTAGCCACCTGATCTATGACAGAGCAAGGTTGCTTTTGCTGTAACTTTCCTTGGTCACCACTGGATGCTCGAGATGGTTCTCCTTTTTCAGCTGTCTTGTCCCTTATCTCAAGCTCCGGTCCCATTTTAGATGCTCGAGATGGTCCTCTCTTGCATGTTTCAAGGCTTCCATTTTGTTGGACCCGAGCTTTCTTGCGGATCCCATCCTCTGCTTCGTTTGGTGGTTGCTCCTTCTGAAAACAAATTTCAACTTAGCAAAACATAAAACGTGGATTGCAAGCTGTTTGACGTTCTTTCTGACCTTGGAGCAGAACTTGAGCAATGGACTTCCACTTCCTCTGATCAACTCCAAAGTTAGTGACTGCCCTGCGCCTACTTCATTTGCGGAGCAGAAACCTTTCCAATCATTACCACCGCAAATAAACACCGCTCCACTTGTATCACTTCTATCAACTTTAAGCTTCATCAGCCACTCGACTTTGTCTTTGTCAACCAGGATGATCTTTTCCAGCTTGTTGAGCATATTGGCACTAGTAAAATATAACGATAGACGCTGCCAAAAGATTCAAAATTAGAAAAACAAATCGTTGAAGAAACCCGAGAGATAGAGGTTCCTAAAACTCACCTGTTTACCAATCTTAAGGCTGTTAGCTGTAGGAGTTAACTCCACAAACCGGTTTTCTCCAGTTTGGTCATCCTCTGCGAACCGAACTTTCTTCTTCCTCTTCACCTCTGTGCAGCTGCAGAGCTGGAACACAGGCCTTTCCGCATTTTGCAGGAGTTTAAATGTGCAAGAATCTCCCACTTTTAATTTATTTTCCCTGCAGAGACCTTTCCAACCTCCATGAATGAAAACCTGACCAGCTATCTTACTCTTTACTTTCGATTCCCATGACTTCCCTTGTTCGTTCATCAAAACTATCTCATGCATTCCTTTGTCAAAACCGTTTCGTCTTGCGAAATCTATGGGCAGAGTCTGCATGCATCAGTCAATCAAGTTGCATTGGGACTTATATAAACACATATTTGACCTATGAATAAACATATACAACAACGAAGAAACCACTAATCTGACTAACCACCATATCGCTTGATATGCTTGAACGCGGCACGGTTTTGCTAAAACAATCAGATTCCTTTTGCACATTCTCCTCAACTTCCTTCTCAGGTCTTGCAGTTTTTTCTGAATTAGAAAATGAAACGTTTCAAGAAATAGCAAAGAGTCTCAATTAAAAATGTAAATGTTCGTTGAAACTTGAAAGATGGTTCATTAATAGATTCAATCACACCAATATCATCACTCTCTTCGCCTTCTTCATGGCTGCTAGACTGTGAGTATTGGATCTCACAGCAACTAGATCCTAGAGCAATGACATGGAACAACATGTCTCCTTCATGTCTAAAGACAACAAAGTCACCGATTCGAAGATCATGTGCCTCCACGAACTCTGTCCAACCTTGGGTGAGCCTATTGCCATCCATCTTCACTTCCCATGTTCTCTCCGACGCATCTGATCTCAACTTTACAGTCTTGCCCTCGTGTTTTCCCTCGATGTGCTCGGAAAAGAACTTCACAGGAATTTTCTGCAACAGAGAAACATAAACCATGAGACTATATGTTAATGCATGCAATGATGCAGATTGAGAGAAAAAGGAAGACAGAGACAGAGCGATGGCGTACGAGGTAGCTCTTAAATCCGTTAAGAAGAGGCTGGAAAAAGTGGTGGTTTGTCGGAGAGGACGGAGATGCATTCGCCATTCTTATCACTTCAACAAAGCCAAAAGTTTTTCTTGGTTACTCAATGAAACAAAATACATAGGCTATAGTTGTCATGGCACTATATATACACACCTTTTCACAATTGTGAAAGGGTGAACATATCTTTGAAATTTCAAAATTTGATAGATTAAAAATATTTCCTCTGTTCCTAATATAATAAATATTTTTAGAAATTCACACATATTAAGAAACAATAAATGAGTTATAACATCACTATTTATTCTTTTGACCAAAAAAAAAACATCACTATTTATTCACACTATGGAAAACAATTTTCTATAACTATAACCCAATAACAGTAAAAATTTAAAATGTTTAGATTAACTGATTTCAGGAAAGATTTAAATGTATTACAAATTTCATTCTTTTCAATTAAATGTACTATATCTCTATAAAGTATTTTTTTTTTAAAAGCTTACATAGACTGACAACATGTAATGATTTATAACATCACTATTGTCACACCGAACAGCTTTTTATATCTTGTATTGTCACACCAAACAATTTCCTATATTTTTTGTGTGTTTTTTTTTTTTATGATATATTTTTCTTGTATTGTCACACCAAACAGTTTCCTAACAATAAAAATTTAAATATTACTTTCTCCCTTTCAAAAAGATTGAGGTTTTTGATTTTTTCAGATTAAAATAGAGTTAAGTATTTGTTTATAAAATAATTTAACTGAAGATATAAACTATTATATTTGGTAGAAAGAGAAAATATAAACATGTGAAAAGAGGGAGTATTGTTTTTAATTTTCATTAAGAAAATGTAGTATCTTAATTCTTACACGATTGTGTCTTTTTTTCTTTCGTAATAGTCGCCTTACGAGAGCAGCGGCTCCAATGTCGCAACTGCGGAGTTTCTGACGAAGAAGTAAATAAAAAGACACCAACGGCGAGGAAAATTAGAGCTGCTATGTTGTGGCGAGTGAATAAGACAGAAAGATCCACCCTAATTAAACCAATCTCATGCAGCATCTAAATTGGCTTCTCGAAACTCGAAATTGTTTGATCTCTTCTTTCTTCACTTTTTTCTTTAATGTCTTTTTTACTCGTGTATTATAGCTTTATTGATGTTGTTACTTGGAAATATGGTTTGGGCCTTCTACGATGCAGTTTAATATATTGGACCTTCATACTTCTTCTTTTTGGACTTTTTCTATTTACTACGTTTTCTTTGTCCTTTATCCAGTAATATTTTCCATTTTGTTTTGACACAAAACTAAACAATATAAATAAAAAATCAAGTTTCTCCATGACCAATTACCACTCCATCTCCATCTAAAACATTCACAACAATTCAAGAAGCAACTTATTGGTTTTGTTTCTAACAATTTTTCTTTTTGCAGGATTGGCTTAGGCTAACCAGTCATCATCATCCTTTCCCTGCACCGGGACTCCCATTGCTGATGATTGAATCTTTCTTATTGGTTTCATAGTACTCAGCTCACAGTTGATTCTATTGTTTCCAACAACCGATCACCGTACTCACTTACTTCGGCCCTGGAAAAAAGTTTAGGAATACAAACCATCATTAAACATTCTTTGGGGTCTTCGTCAATGGTTTGGGGATTAGAAGTAGAGGTTTTCAAAGCAAGTAAAATTGCTGTTGATACACATCAAAGTACAAATCATACCTAGGTCGTTGATTTCCTTTAATGAAATTTCTAGCTTCTGTTTCGTTGTCTCGAGTTCTGCCATATACCGTCTTATACTAGTTAAAGCATCTACAACGCTATCTTTCACCTTAGCCACCTGATTTGAGACAGGGACAGGTTGCTTTTGATGCAAGTTTTCTTGATTACCACTGGATTTGTTAGATGCTCGAGAGGCTTCTCCTTCTTCAGTTGTCTTCTCTCTCATCTTAAGATTCGGTTCAGTCTCCTGGCTCCATGTTTGGAATCGAGCTCTCTTGTGTGCCTGAGCCTCTGCTTCAAATGGTGGTTCCTCCATCTGTTCAAGTCGTTATTTGATTGACTTCCACTTAGTAAAACCTAAAATGCAAACTATTTGACGTTCTTACTAACCTTGGAGCTGAACTTAAGCAAAGGAGTTACACCTCCTTGGATCAACTCCAATATTAGAGACTCCCCTACAACTATTTCATTGGCCGCACAGAAACTTTTCCAACCATTACCACTGATAATATACATCAGACCAGTAGCTTTGTCAGCCTTAAGCTTCATTGACCATTCAGCTCTGTTTTTGTCCACCAGAACTATGTTCCCCGGATTGATGAGTCCGTTCTCTCTCGTAAAACTCGCCGGTAGATGCTGCAAAATATTTAGAATTATATATATATATATATATAAAAAAAGCAATGTATTGTAAAAGAAACTGAGATTGAGGTTTTGAAAAGTCACCTGTTTACCAAGGTGAAGGCTGTTTGGTGTAGGAGTTAACTTCACAAACCGGTGTTCTCCGGTTTTGCCATCGATACAACCTTCAGCATACTGGATTCTCCTCTCTGACTTAGTAGGGCTGAAGAGCTGAAACACAGGCGTTTCTGCTGTGTTTGGGAGCAGTCTAAATGTGCGAGAATCTCCAACTTGTAGGTTATTTGCAGTGCAAAAACTTGTCCAACCTCGAACAATGGTAAGCCTACAACCACCCCAGCTCTTTACTTCAGATGCCCATGACTTGCCTTCTTCGTTCATCAAAACTATCTCTTGCCTTTCTTTGTTCAAACCATTTCTCTTTGCAAAATGTATGGGGACACACTGCATCAGTCATCAAAGTCCATTGGAGGATTAAATTCTTGAAAATGAAACATAATAACAACAAAGTAGTTTAATAGCTAATCTTGCTAACCACTGTATCTCTTGATAGGTTTGAAGCCGTCACAGATAGGCTAAAACAATTGAGATCAGATGAAAATTGATCACATTCTGTTTTCACATTCTCCTCAACTTGCTTCTCAGATCTTGAAGATACTTCTGAATCGGAAAAATGAAACGTTTCAAGAATAGAAAAGAGTCGCAATAAATTGAAGTTCACATTGAGTCATACCAGTTTCGTTACTCTCTTCGCCTTCTTCATGGCTGGGAGGCTGTGACTGTGAGTATTGAATCTCACAGCAGCTAGGTCCTAGAGCAGTGACATTGAACAACATGTCTCCTTCGTGTCTAAAAACGAGGAAGTCACCAATTCGAAGGTCATGTGCCTCGACGAACTCTTTCCAACCGTCGGTGAGTCTATGGCCTTGCATCTTCACTTGCCAAGATCTTTCTGACGCATCTGATATCAAATTTACAGTCCTTCCATCGTGTTTTCCGACGATGTGGTCGGAGAAGAATTTCACTGGAATGTTCTGCAAAAGAGAAACAGAAAACTGAGACAATTATGTGCATAGAGAGATTGAGGGAAAAGAGAGAAAGATAGCTTTACAAGGTGGTTCTCGAAACCGGGGATAAGAGGCTGGAAGAAGTGTGGTTTTGTTCGAGACAATGCATTTGCCATATCCGATCACTACAACAAACTCAAAAGAGAGATTGTTTGTGTCTCTTCAGTCTTCAGACCTCTCCCCTCCCTCTTCTGTTGCGTTTTCCTTGTCTATTTCACTTCACATTAAATGAAGTGAGAAGAACATAAATCACTTCCAAGTTTCAAAACACTTTGTATTAAATGATTCATTTCAAAAACCACAAAATGATAAAAGCCTTAAAATCTGATTCAATTTTAAACGCTTTCTATATTTTCAAAGTCGTATAATCTGATACTAAGCAAAAAGGTGCGAGTGTGCGACGTAAGTTAATTTCTTTCCGTATAGATTAAAAAAGGATAAATGAAAACAAAAAAAATTGGGGTGAGAGAGGCTCGAACTCTCGACCTCAGGATCACTCAGTAGCTATGAGACCTACGCGCTAGCCAACTGCGCCACCACCCCATTGATGATGATGGCGTATTAGTTGTTCTATAGCAATGTTTATTTTCAAATCAACTAATTGTCAACAAAGTTACGGTGCTTTCATTCAGTTAGATTCAAAAGTAGCAGCTCCAAACCAAAGAATACTCCATTAATTCAAGTTCAACCGTCCAGGTAAATCTCCAATACTTTGACTCATCAGGTAAGTAGTTAACTGATCAAATAGACTTTTAAATTGAGTAATGCCTTGAACAAAAATAAGTGAAGGGGAAACAACAAAGAATTGAGTTTAAAAAGTCTTCAACTAAAAGCATGAATTAAGAAACAAGCCAGAAGTGATGATGGAACAACAGCTGAAATATGAACTCGGAACTAACTTTTCAACTGCCAGAGTAAAAAAAGAGAACAAAACTAGGAAATGTAACATCTTTGATTTGATTCTCAAGCTTTTTAAGCTGTAACAGAGGGCTTGGCTGCAGCAGAAGAGAGCCTAGACCTCTTCTTTGCCAAACTCTCACTCCTCCTGTCACGCTGTTCCTTCAACCTTGAGGCAAGAAGCTTCTGGTAGTCAGCAGCATCAGAATTAGCCTTGGCAATTCTCTTCTTCTTGTCAGCGATTCTGGCTCTCTTCCTCTGAAGAGTCAATGGAGTCACAAGCCTCTGGATCTTAGGGGCTTTGCTCACTTCCTTGCCTGTCAAAAAAACAAACAGAATAAACAATTTTCAGAGAAGATTTTTTATCAAGTCTGGTTGAGATTTTGAGAGTGTTTTATCTCTTACCCTTCTTGTTTGTGAACTTGCGGCGGTAAGTGTTGACATAGGTTCTCACATCATCTTCTTTTTTGAGGTTAAACAATTTACGGATCTTAGAGGCTCTCTTTGGTCCTCTCATTCTTGGCTTCTCGGTATCAGTAAGACCGGGAAGATCGTTTTCACCCTTCTTAACAATGACAAGGTTCAGAACAGAAAGGTCCGGGCTCACAATGCAACCACGAACAGACTTTCTTCTCCTCTCACCAGTCCTCCTTCCATGTCCTCTGAAGCAAGGAGTTCCTGCTCAGGCATTAACCAAATAATGTAAACCCACATCCAACACCAACATAGATGTAAACGTGTATAGAAGAGGCAAGTTGATTAAATTACCTCGGTGAAGCAAAAGGCGAACACGGCCTGGAGTCAAAACTCCCTGCTTCATTGGGAAACCTTGCTTATCACATCCACCCATGATCTTGAAAACGTATCCCTTGAACTCCTGCAATAACATTTCATAAATCCAAAATTCAGTCTTCTGTTTCGAATCACAATCAAGAGACCAGAATTAAGATATAAGTGAAATATGTACCTCGCCCAACGCATCTCCACTGACTTCTTGGGAGAGTCTCTTGTCAAAAAACGCACGTCTGCATCAACATAAGTCAAGCTCAATACTATAATCCAGACATGTTTTACCAAACTTATAACTTTGTATTATAGAACATAAGACTTAAGGTTTCGAGTCATATTTAGCTTCTAAGAAGAAGATTCCAAAAATTCAGCAACTCGCGGCATTCTATGTATACTACTAGACCCTAACAATTTCACACTGATATCCATAAATATCAATCAATAGATCCAGAGAACCTATAACGAAATCTCCAGAAATGAGTAAGGATGAATACAGAATGAGCTAAATCTTACAGTTTCTGGTCATCGTCGATCTCGAGCTTCTTCTGGCAACCAGTGGTTGGATTTGCGATGTTAAACTAAAACACGAGAAACATGAAAAGATAAGCAAAGGAGAAACGATAAACGAAGTAGGCAAATGTAGACTCTGTTCGCCGTCACATACCTTCATCTTCTCAGGTCGACGTCTAGGGTTTCCAAGCTAGCGAGAGCAGCAAATTTATACGAAGAGGTAAGGTTTATTTGGTTTTTTTATGGGCCGTTCTTTCCAGTTATGGGCCATTTAGCCTTTTTATTAGTTTGATGAAATACCAAAATCAAAGCCCAATAGAAAAACATGGTGTATACGGTTATCATAAAATCATGTTTACGGTTATCATCAAATAATTAATTCCCTCGATAAATTATTTAATTAGTCTCATATCAAATCATCTTTTAGTTAATTCCCTCGCAAAAAAAAAAAAAAAAAAAAAAAAATCAGGCAGAAAACTGTAGTGATTCAGCTCACCAAATCAAACGTTGGTGCAGTTGGTTTGAGATATCTCCTTATAAAATGGCGCACTAAGTCTAACTGTTAAAACCATCCTATCTTCCCATATCTCTCTCTACCTTCTTGATCAATTTTCAAACCAACAACAACAATGGCAAACCATCTTCAAGATCCCTTAACCACGTATCCTAAACCGGATCTTACCAAAGAGCAAGAACAAGTTGACGAAGAAATGATGAGCTTGCAAGCGTTGAGGATCACGAACTCATTGGCTTTTCCCATGGTTTTCAAAGCTGCCTTGGAGCTTGGCGTCCTCCACACAATTGTTGCCGTTGATGACGGTGTATGGCTCTCGTCTACCGAGATAGCTTTTGCTCTCCCTACCAAGCCCACCAATCCAGAGGTGCCAATGTTACTAGACCGTATGTTACGGTTACTCGCCAGCCACTCGATCTTGAAATGTCGTATAGTTGCATCTGGAGAAAACTATCGAACCCGAAAGACTCAAAGGGTGTATGCAGCCGAACCGGTTTGTGCCTTTTTTGTAAACCGTGGTATCAACTCGGGTTCTCTCATGTCTCAATTCATGTTGCTCCAAAGCGAAGTCTTTTTCAAAACTTGGTACGTACATTATTATTTGCAAATACAGCCAACTTGTATCAAACCGGCTAATAATCTTGGTAATAATATATATAAACTACATTTGAACGATTTTCTTTTATGATTAAACTATTTATTTACAAACTAATGAAGTTGGATTATTATTTTTTTGTTTGTAGCGGATATTATGTGACTGGAACGACAAAGATTGTATAAAGATACTAACAAACTGTTGGAAGAGTCTGCCGGAGAAGGGGAAAGTGATAATAGTTGACATGGTTGCCCCATCAGAACCAAAGAGTGAGGATGACATTTTCTCTAACATTGTCTTCGCTACGGACATGTTGATGTTAGCACAATGTTCGGGTGGTGAAGTGAGGTCATTTCCTCAGTTTGAAGCTCTCGCCTCTGCATCGGGTTTTCACAAATGTGAAATAACTGGCCTTGCTTTTACATATTCTGTTATCGAATTCCACAAATAAATTCGAAGTTCACCTTAATTTTTCAGCCTCAGTCTCTTCCCACATTATAAGTGGTACAAAGAAAGAGGAATCAAAGCAAATTCATACAACGCCGACATAAGATAGTGTACATTGACAGTTAAAAAGGACAGTTAGACACAATTTACTTTGGTGCAGAACTTAAGCACAGGACCTGCATCTTTCTTCCAAATGAGTTCCAACACAAAGGACTCTCCTATCTTTACGCCATGAACTCTACAGAACCCTTTCCAGTCTCTTCCTAGTCTCAATCTTCCGTTTTCGTGGTCTTTAAGAAGACGCACCATCCTATTTACTCCGTCTCGACCCAACAGAGTTATTTTCCCCGGCTTCTTGATGCCATTCGCCCGCGTGAAACAGAGCGGAAGTCTCTGCATAAACGATTTGATTGAGGTAAAACGATTGACCAGAACACATCTAAAAAAAACCAATGATGTAATAGACAACTCGAGATTTACCAGTTTATTGCTTCTAAAAGAGTACGGAGAAAATGTTAATGTCACAAACCGGCTTTGACTCGATGAAGATGAAGCTCCTGGTCTTGAGGAATGCTTCCATTTCTCTGCAATCGAACATTCCCTTAAGCTGCTTTTGTCTTCAATGCTCTCTTCTTCACTATCTTCCTTCACAATGGTGTTGTCTCTCCCGTTATCTTCACTTTCCTCGGTTTCGCTACTCTCTTCTGCCCTGCTAGGATCTGTGGAGAGGGAATCTACATCGGTACCTTCTGAACACTCTAATACTCTTGTGTCACGGCTAGTTTCTGCAGAGCATAAACAGAGAACATGTTTCCCCCCGGTAATGACCAGTTTAAACCTGAAGGTATCTCTAGCTTTTAACCCGTTTACTTGACAGAAACTTCTCCAGCCTCGTGAGATAAGAACAGAGTTGTTTGACTTATCGTGTCTTAAAACTAAATTCCATGTTCTACCATCTTCATTCTTCAGAACCATCTCATCACAACGTCCTTTATCCAAACCATTTGAGCTCACAAACACTCTTGGAAGATACTGCAACATCAGATTAAACACAAGTCACACTAACAAAAGAGTTTAATCAGATCATCTGCTATTGAACTCTGTACTCACCAGCGCATCATGATCTAAGTTCGAAGTTGTGACAAATCCTGAAAAAAAAGAGCAATCTGACGAGGATTCGGCGTCTGGTCTACATCCTGCTCGGCACACTTGTATCACAGGAGTTCCTGAATTTCGGACAAGTTTGAAAGTATAGCCACCTCGGTTCATCCCATTGGCATTGCAGAAACTTCTCCAGCCGTGTCTGAGATAAGTTTTGCTGCCGGATTTGTCATGATCCAAACTTAACTTCCATGATCTTCCCAATTCGTTAAGAAGAACAATCTTACCGGTTTTTTTGCACAAACCACTTGACCTCGCAAAACCAACTGGAACATACTGCAAAGCCCTCACAATTTGACAAACATGAGCTAAGCTACTCTTAAATTAATTTCTCAGCTAAATTTTTTAAAACTTTTGCTTAGAGAATATAACCAACCAATTTATCCTCGTATAGGTTTGAGACTGAGACATTTGCTACAAAACAAGAATGGTCTAATGAAGAATCTTCTTCTCTCCCTGGATTTTTCTTCACTGGTCTGGTTTCTGAAGCCAAAAAACCATTAAAAATTTTTCAAATTGTCCTTCTCTATCCAGATTTTGAGTCATTTCATTATAAAAAGACAGAAAATTTACCAATGTTTTCCTGATGATTATCACAATCGTCATCAACGCTATGAGATGATGTATATTCAATCTCACAGCCCCTGAGCCCCAACGCAGTGACATGAAACACCAGATCGCCTTCGTGTCTGAAAACAGTGACATCACCAATACGAAAGTCATTAGCTGTGACGAATTCTTTCCAACCCTCAGTGAGTCTCTGGCCATCTTCAATTTTCAATTCCCAAACTGTATCTGAAGCGTCCGTTCTCAATTTTGCAGTCTTGTGTTCGTTTCTTCCTTGGAGGTGCTTCAAGTAGAAGGTTACAGGAATGTTCTGCAACAAAAATGCATAAGAAGTTTCTAAAACAGAACCATATCTTTTTGAATAAGCTAAGCTATATATAATCGTAGAAGAGAGACAGAGACAAAGTACGAGATAAGAGTCGAAGCCGGGAAGTAGAGGCTGGAAGAAATGTGGGTTTTTGGGAGTTTGAAGAACTGATTCCGCCATTGTTAAGTTTAATCACTGAGCAGAAAATTTTACCATTTTTGTTTCTTACAAAAGTTGTGGATTTTGCATTATTTGTTCCAAAAACCCATCAAAAGGAACAAAACCTAACCTCTGCTACGAATATGTTTTAGCTTTGTCAGATAGGGTCACTTTTCACTTTTTCATCATGAAAGGCGAGAATTCAAACTTCAGAAAAGTTTCAACTTTATCCGTGACTTCGTAAACCTCGTCTGATATGACGACGACACAACTTAAACAATAATTAAAACATTAACAATCAAATTTAGTTCATTAACAATCAAATTACTACTCTGTTTTTCCGAAAGACAATAAAGAAAACAAGACAGACTTGATTGGTTATAATAATTATAATAATAGTCTTCAGACATAGATTGGTTCCTCCTTAACCTTGGAACAAAACTTAAGTAGAGGAGTTCTATTTTCCCAAAGCAGCTTCAACGTGAAAGGCTCGCCTACCTTGAGTACATCATTAACACTACAGAAAAGTTTCCATCCTTTTCCCAGTCCTCTTTTTCGATGGTCTGGTCCATCGCGGACCAACTTGGTTAACCGCTTCACACCATGTTTATCTTCCAGAATTATCTTCTCGTGCTTGTTGGTAATGCCATTGACCCTTGTGAATTCTACCGGAAGGGTCTGCATTTCAAAACCAAAAAAGAAACACAAAAGATTTCTATCAAAAACGTACAAGAACCAGAAAACATAATCAGAAACCTTTTCCTATTATACACACGAGCTTACAATTTTGGAGTTTTTGATATTGTAAGCTGTGAGACTGATTGTGACATAACTATTTCGTCCTGGAGATGGTGAGACTTCCCACCTACGACGCTTCACTAACTTTTTCTTCTCTTTAGCTTTGCTCATTAGCTCCGAACATACTTCTTCTGGACAAATACAGAGCAATGGAATAGATTCACCGTCTCCAACTAGATTAAACGTGATCATATCTCCTTCTTTTTGTCTGTTTTCACGACAGAATCTTGTCCAGCCTCCTCTCATGTAATAGCTGCCTTCTGATTCTCTAAATCTCAGATTCAAAGTCCACGACTTTCCCTCTTCGTTCACTAGTATTATCTTGTGACATCCCTTGTTCAAAGCTACAAAGCTCGCAGCTTTCTTTGGAAGATTCTGCAACACCAATCCACAGGCACATTATTTACATCATGAATTATATGGAGTATGAATAGAAGAATGAGGAAAGCCAGTACTCACAATTGTGTCAAATATTAGATTTGAAGCAGTGACGTTTGCTACAAAAGAGTAATCATATGATACAAAAGACTCTGGCTCTGTTTTGGGTTTTAGATTCCTCTTCCTCAAACCCTCTCCTGAATCAGAGAAACAGATTCCATTTCTATATATCAAAATGATTCAAGCAATCAGTAAGAGCAAAAACTAAAACATACTAGTGGTGTGCTGATTCTCCATGTCGTCTTTATCATCATCATCATCATCATCATTGTAGTGCTCCTTTTTTATATGACTTTGTGGGTACTGAATCTCACAGCAACTAGGACCAAAAGGTGTCACACTAAACACCATGTCTCCTTCGTGTTTAAAGACAATGACGTCGCCGATTCGAAGATCATGAGCTTTCACAAAGTCGTTCCAGCCTTGGGTGAGTCGCCGGCCATCCATTTTCACTTCCCAAGTTCTCTCTGAAGAGTCTGATCTGAGTCTAGCCTTTTTCTCCTCCTCATGTTTTCCAACAATGTGCTCAGAGAAGAACACAACAGGTATCGTCTGCAACCAACAAGAGACAACAGGTTAAACAAAATTGACTTTGAAAGAAAGACAGAAGCAGAGACACAGAGAGAGAGAGAGAGAGAGAGAGAGAGAGAGAGAGAGAGAGAGAGAGAGAGAGAGAGAGAGAGAGAGAGAGAGAGAGGAGAGAGAGAGAGAGAGTATACGAGGTGGGTCTCGAAACCAGGAAGAAGTGGCTGGAAGAAATGCGGATTTTTGGGAGATTGAAGTGGAGAATTCACCATTTCGAACAGTTCAGGAAGAAATTCAAAGAATCTTCAATTTTCTTGAGTTTCAGACAAAACCAATGTGTGGTACTTCCTTTTATCAACTGGGTAATGAAAAAGAAGTACAAAGAAAGAATATAACAGCTTTTTCAATTGCTGATTGCATAAGTCATTTTTATTATTATTTTCAAGTAACTGACCACTTTAAACCCCATGGTGACAACTGTGGCATTTGTCTCACGTTGGATAGATCAGAAGCAGTCAGTTTGGTTTTTTAACTTGCTCGATGGAAAATATATACTTTGACTTCTCCGCAGAACACTCATTGTGGTTGTTCAATTCTACGGTATCCAGTTAATCAGAACTCTCAAGGATGGATATCTCACAATATTATCATGACTTGGAGACATACAAGAATGGTGGATAAGTGATGTAGGAAACCCAAGCACCACCAAAGACGCAAGTCAAGACAACAAACAACTAAGGAATATACATGTTGTGTAATTGATATCTAGGAAAACAAGTGAGTTTTTTTATGTTTTTGTTTTAACTGAAACACAACAGATAATCAGGGGTCTTGACACACAAGGCCGTCCTTAGCAGGCAAAGATGATGAAGAATTTCTGGTGTCTATTCCTCCCTTGTCGCAGGATCCATTCCAGTCGAAGGGCTATCAGCAAAATATTCTGGATGCTTCACGTTCACACCATACTGCCAAACCGAATTTACTCATATGAGTTAGGTTTTCACATGTTGTTAAGACAAGATGATAAAACCTTATCTATCTACCTACACTACTGCAATCCACAATAATAGAACCACTAAGCTTTTTTCGTTCGTTCTGTGGTAATAAAGAAGCTCCATGCCCTTTGTATTTATGAGTATAACGGTCAATGCATCATTCACAGCTTAAGTAAAATACAAGAAGCTTCTACAATTTCTACTCATATTTGGAGGTCTGTGGGCCAACGCACCAAATGCAGCATGAACTTAAAGAAGAAGAAGAAGAAGCATTTACCTCACGCAAAGCTTTTGAAAGGTCATCCATTGTCAATACTAAACGCTTGTCCTGTATTATGTAAATTAATATTCATGACATAATCCAAACCATAATGACATTTCATAATTGCCGAACAGGTCAAAAGTGAAGTAGCAGTTACCTTTTGCTGTTTTTTGTCTTTCACAACTGGTGCTGGTCTAGCCTTGCAGTGCCTGTATTCACAATTTGTATTATTCGGGAACTTATATAAATGCTTAAAGCATTTAGAAAATCTAGGTTAAACATCTTTTCATCTCATCTACTCAGAATAAGCAGCTTCTTTTGTGTCAATATGAAGAAAAATATGGAAGCTTATGGAGAAGGGAATGAAAACTTACTGAAGGGCGTCGCTGGCAACATCTGCAACAAACTTTTGTGTAGCCACAGCAACTAGCCTTATTCTGTCAAACAAGTAAACAAAATATCAGAACAAACTGGCAAGTCTAATTTCAACAACTAAAAATACCAACGTCAAGCACTCAATTTGAAAGAAAGAAGAATTAACTCATTATTCTACGCGTAAAATCTGAAGTTTATATTCCAATTGGCAACATTTCTGAGTTCTAGTCCAACATGAACTTCTTTAGAATACCATTATACAGGCAAGTAAACACAGAAATCTAAATCCAATATGGGAGAGTACGATATCCCAGAAGTAAACCCCAACTACAAGTCTACAAGAGTGCTGAACCATAAAAGTAATAACATATGAGAAACCTAAAACATCTTACTTAAACCAAGACATCTGATCTAACTGCCCGTAAACCATTCTAAAACCCAACAATGATTGCACCAATAGCAACTAATCTGCTCTTTCCCCATTGTAAGTATTCACATATAACTTAACGTAAATACCTACAATCGTACGTCGGGGCACTGAAACCCACTCTTAGCCAAGAAGTGCTCCACTAAATCATCAGGAATCTGTGAGGGAAAAAAACAAATCAAGAACTCAATCAATACCTGGGATGCAATCATCATAGACTATGAAAAAAAATTCCAAAAGAGTACAAGGAGAAATATACAGTAGGTGTATAATCCATCAGAGAAGCAAGGAACTCTGTAAGAGCAGCATCATCTTCATGCTTTGCCTCGCCAGATTGTTGGCCGTGATTCATCTCTCCCACCTTCAAGTAAATAGATAAAAAAAAAAAATGAAAATCAGAAACATTTCATAGAGAAATTCTGAATTTGCAGAAAAAAAGAATTCAGATATTGGAAATCAACATTGCTATGCTAAAAGCCCTCAAATAAGAAACTTCTACTAAACCTAAAAAACAATATCATGATGAATTGATGATACAACAATACCTAATTATAGTCGGTGATGAGACTAGCTCTTTTTAACCATCGTGTTGCAAAAATCACACCAAGTTTTGAACGACAAGAAGCATAGCGCAATCAGAGGACTACGTTTTCAAAAAATCATCATGAAACAACAGGAAAAAAAATATCGATACCTCAGCAGTAGTAAACCTAAATTCTAACTGAGAAAACAAAATTGAGCTGAAATCGAATCTGATACATAAAACTCGGAATGCGAACCTAAACGAAGCTGTAACGTGAAAAGAGTAGAGAATTGAGCTGAGGTGAGGGAAATAGAGCTGAAGAATAGAAGTTTCGACGGATAGTGGCGGAGGAGAAGAAAGGATCGGAGAGTCGACGAGTGAGTCCTCCGTTGGAAACCCTAATTCTCCGACTCGAAGCCATCTCCGCCGGTTAGATTAGATTTTAACAGTAGTGACAAATCTTCAACTGGACTAATGGGCCTTTGTAATTAAAATAGGCCCAAAAACATTTTCCCTGAAATTTACATTGTATTCTTTAAATTTAAAATTTTCCCATCAAATAAATTCAGATCATTACATAGAAAAGGAAATATCTAAGAATATCCACAACAACGACAACAAAAAAAATCTCAAATTGTGACTTAAGTCTTATAGTGTTGTTACTCTTCTTCAATCTGCATAGTGAACTTATTTTTGGATGGGAGACAAAGAATATGACAATGAAAGCACTACAATACAATCAATCCACCATCTAGATGGAATATATAAAAATGACCTACAAAAGCAGTTTTTGTTTTCTCTTTTGTCAACTCAGTCTTGTTAGATTTGAGAAAAAAAGTATATATAGAAAAAGACTTGAGGGTAGTTTTATTCTACGAGAAGCAGGTGGTCGATTCAGCGAAGGATTAGACTAATTTCTCCTCAAAGAGAAATAAAGATAGATGATGATGATGATGATGATGATGATGATACTTTTACTTCACCAGATTCCATTTGCTGGTTGCTAGTTGCTACTATCTATCCACTGTAAGACGAGAATACTAGCTAAAATATCGCGAACTCGTTGGTATGCGAAAACGTTATGTACAGCTATAACAATTTATGAAATTTGAAGGACACTATGTAAATTATATGTATCTACAAGTCCACAACATTGTTTTTTTTATAATGATAACCATATAAAAACTAAATAAGAGACCGTTATTGTAAGAAACCAGGTTATATATATATAGAAAGAGCCAAAGAGGCCACCAATTAGAATCTAATGTAAACTATCCAAGTCTCATTATCATGAAAAAGGTATGATTTAATTTGACAAATTAAAAAGACGGTTGCTCACGCATAAGAATATTGTAGACTATATATAGGCTCGGACGAGCTATATGGATTTATCTCAACTTTTCTCTTTGATTTCTTTTTTTCTTTTCAATCAAATAAAACTTTAATTTATTTTGGTATTTCCATATCTAAATATGAATATTTCAGATGAGGTGAATGAGAGCATGGCTAGTGAAGCAATGTTATTATGATCTAAATGGAATATCCACTATTGTGAATGTGATCATGATCTTTACTTTAAGAAGTGATTCTCATTTGTATTCCTCACATCAGTTTTATCTTTATTACTAGTAACTTTCCTTTTTTTTTTTTTTTTTTTTTTTGTTAAAAAGCCTTCTTTACTAGTAACTTTCCTATAATATTTTTTATTTACACCTTGTAGAGACGTGAAAATAAAAGACCCAACATATACAAACAAAATAAATAGAATCTAAAAATAGTAGAAGAGAAAACTTTTATGTAATTTTTTGCAAATAAATCGTGTGTACGTAGAAATATAAATAAAGATTACACTTGGGAAATTTTAGATAAGATGCTTTGTAGACGGAATTTATCAATTTAAACATATATTTATTCGTTGTTAGTGTTTAAATATACATTACGCTAAGATAAAACAAGTAATCTTAGCATAATAGTAGTTAAGTTGAAAATCGTGCCTCATGAGTTGTTGTAGGGTACTTAATTACTACTTTTACTTTCGACTTCCATCATTTTTTTAATTCGACTTTAGAAAACTTGTGGTGGTGCATAGATTTTTAATAAATTTGTAGTGCATAGTTCCTTATCTAGAAGAAGAGAAGTTTGTACGTCACCAAACACCCCCAAAAAAAACTCAAGTTGGGAATATGTTCTTTTGTTTTCCCCATCCAGTTTTAATATTATAATTTTGTCGCTAATCCTCAATTAATTAACATTATATACTACTAATAAAGTTGGAATATAAACAGCAATACCGTAATAGTTATATGTTTATGTGGATGTAATCTAACAAGAGCTTTCTTTGGTGATTGGTCGCCTCTCGCCAACAATTTCTATTAAAGCTGAAATGTATTAAAATCATTTAAAAATTTAATGAAAGTTACTAATAAGAAAGAACTGGCCGTTCAAAGTACAAAAGTGGAATCTGATAATCCACTGAAATTGCAATTAAATATTGGAGATTTGGTTTAGGAAAAAGATTTGTCATGCTATATATTTTAATAATATATATGCATAGCATAAAAGTTTGTGGAGTATTTCATATACAAGTGGCCTTGCCTCAATACGAAAACTTGCCCTTTAGTAAAGTAAAGCAAACAACGATCGAAATGGATATTGCTTAAATAATAAACAGAGTTACATGTTTCGAGTTTTTATATGTCTTTAGTTTAATTATTGGTTTTCTTTAGCGATCATTAAATGTACTTTGGGTACGAGTAGACGCGTAATCTTGATATGAGAAACCACAAATTTCGACTGGTTTGGTTTGTAGCATCAATTACCGACGGCGTAACAACATCTTTCGTTACATTTTTTCTACTTACATGTCCATTTGTACTTGTTGTACTAAGAGTAAACGTTCAATAAAAAGTAATTCATATGATTCAATTCGGATTTTTCGAAGGTTTCAATATATGAGTATACGATCGAGAGAGTATCGACGGTAAGTACAAAAATAACGAGCGGTGAGTGTCCGTGCAGAAAGAAAACGTACCCTCTACTTCGAAAAAGATGCAAAGTGGAAGCTGACGAAACGTGGGACACAAACAAATTATATAATTAGTTTCTATCATGTTAATAGTGATTAATGGAACAATATGGCCTTCTTATCCCTTCGTGCTTTTCTTTGTTTATTTATTTTTTTTCCTCGTAAAAAAATTTGATTCCGTTGGGCAAAGAGGTAAAGATACAATATTAGATTGTTTCTATAGTATATATGTTTATTCGAAAAAATCAGGTTTACAAAAATGCTTGATTAATCTAATCTTTCTTAGAAACAAAGCATAGCAAAAAAATAATGTGGCAGAAACAACTGAAACAAGTAAAGTTGGGAAAGCATGATATCGAAAAACTAACAAAAAGCAAAAATTAGTTAAAGAAAAATTAAGGCAAAAGCGAAACCAAACCACGTTTTTCCATTTTACAGTGGATATTGGATAATTTACATAGTCAAAAAAAGAAAAAACAAAAAAAAAATAATCTAACTCACAAATGTATTTTACACGTTAAACTACATCTGCAATAATTTTTTCTTACAGAACTACAACTCTACAACTATACAGATTCGGATTTGGACGTCAGAATTACAGAGCTACACCCCTAAATCTTGGGGTTGAGGACCAATGGACCATAAAGATTTGGTGTTTTCGCGCCACATAAACAACATGAGATGGTTAATAATGTTATGATCTTATCCATATCTCTAACCTAATGCAAAAATAAAATAATGGAATCATCACATAGCCTGGCTAGATAGATAGAGAGCAAGAAAAAGAAGAGAGAGTAATAATATGTCAAATCAAAGCACCAAAGCCAATTGAAATTTTTGGAAATAATGAAGAAGGAAAAAAAAAACAAAATGAGATTGTTGGCACTTTAACCCACAATCTCTCTCTCAAATCATCTTTTGTTCGCTATATCTATTATTTATCGTGCAAACACTGTCATATCCCACTATACCTCAATTATGCTCTTTCACTATTATGTTCCTGATTAGCTAAACTATAATATATATAAAAAAATATATTATCAAAATGTCTACGTGAATAGATGGATAAACACATCGACGCCTCCGTCTGTACGGACTACGTATATCTCAACTCTCAAAATCACTGTATTTTATTTATATCATTTCAAAGAATGAAAAAGAACGAAAAATAAAAAGTGGTTTAGTGTCCAGTTATATCTTGATACATGAAATGAAACGGTTAAATCATAACACTGTAGCTTTAATCAAATTTCACTTTTATCATTTTTTTTTGTTTTTCAGTTTCAGTTATCTTATTATAAACTTTTTAATTAAATTGATATATTTTTTAATAATCAAATAAATACGTTGGTTTTTTTTTTTTCGAAAATTATAAATACGCTGATATCACTGATGTTTAAAACAAAAAGAAAAGGAGTTAAATTCCAATAAATTGCATCAATTAAATATGATCGCGACTTTTCTTTGTCCCCAAGTTGTTGATACCTATAAATACATCTCCTTACCTTCTCCTCTGTTTCATACTCATCTTTCCTTTTTACACCTCAAGTCAGATAAACAAAAACACACACAAATCAGAGAGAAACAAAAGAGACTCCACAACAGCAAACAATGAGACCGTTGAGCGTTAAGTCGAGGTTGGAAGGTGTGGCGACGCACGCCACTCCAACAACATCAGCCTTCGTGAATGATCACCACCACGGAGTGGCGCCGCAATCACCGTGGCACTCGCCTGTTCCTTACTTATTCGGCGGTCTAGCGGCGATGCTTGGACTAATAGCGTTTGCTCTTCTCATCCTCGCTTGCTCTTACTGGCGCGTGTCTTCCTCCGGCGAGGAAGATGGTCAGAACGTAGACGAAGAGAAAGAGAGCCGCTCTGGGGGTAAGGCGGCGAGCGGAGCTTACGAGGAGAAGTTTCTCGTCATAATGGCCGGAGAAGACTTGCCTAGGTTTATAGCTACGCCGGCTATGAAAAAGTGTACGTGCGGTGGTCACGAGGGTAAAATGGTAATCTCTCAGGAGGGTAGTGTTGTCACCGAAGAGGACGAGAAGATTAAAGAAGGTGAAGACAAAGTGAAAGATACTGGAGAAACAACTACTTCTACTACAAGTCACTAAAGTTTTTTTTTGTTTTTTTGGTTCTACTTAATTTTACTTCTTTTTTGAGAGTTTTCTGGATATTTGTCTTTCTCATAAGCCATGATTCCCAGGAATGTAAATTTTACTAGAGAGCAACAATTTTGGGTTGTTTTACTTGTTCTCTAGTGTATTATCGTTTGGTATATTAAATCCTTTAATTCCAAATTTTGTTGTTTTGAGGAAATATTTAGTCAGGGTGTTCACCCACACAAAAAATTGTAAAATGCGGTTTCATACGTGTACATCCATATGTATTAGGACTCGACTGTTCCAACCAATTCCTACATTTTGGTTCATAAAATTTTCAAAATTATATCATTACAACCTCAATATGTTCAATTCATTTTTAATATTTTTTAGTGGAATCCACAGTCACAAAAATTTGCTTTTTATAAACCTTGCATGTACTTAAAAGTTAAAACTGTTGGCTGTCAAAAACAGAGAGTAGTTTCAATCTGTTGACATCGGAGTTGTTTGTTTGATGATGATCCATATATGCCAATTATTATTTTCTTTCCCGTTTTTTTAATATGGCAAGATTTTATTTCCCTCATTTGAAGGGTTTATGTCTTTATGATAGTGTAATCTTAATTAAAATTTTATAAATTTGATGTAAGCAGTTTTATACATACATATATATATATGTACATGCAAATGTTTCGACTCTCTCCGTAGTGGCCTAGTCCCTACGACGTATGTCTCTTTAATTTGGATCATCATATGTTATATCGATCGCATGCATAATATACAATATACATTGTTACATATTTTATAGGTTTTCTTAGATTTATATGCACATATATATAGTATTAAATTACAAATAAATAACACAAAAAATATATAGTCAACTGTTATTCTCCGTTTCTTTTCAGCAAATTGATGTCCTCCATTTCTTTTCGAGAAATTAATATTCTCTCCATTAATTAATAAGAAACAATTAGCAAAAACTACGAAGAAAGAAAGAAAAAAAGCAATTAGCAAATCGTTTTGCCAAAGCGTATCTAGGATTAAGCTATTCTGTGTGTGTGAAAGAGTTAACAGATGGGACACACGTTTCAGGTAGTGGATGGGTTTGAGTACTTGAGTGAGTTTTACATTTAATAACAAAAAGAATTAGATTCTGTTTTGACAATTTATTACACACCCTTGAGACTTGAGCTGTGTCCTTCGAGGCGCCGAGCAGCCGCGTCCGCGTCTAGTCTACTACTACTAAAGAACCTTCCAATTAATACTCTCTGTTTCTTTTCTTTTCATTTGTTGCATTCCTTTTTTTTTTTTATGGTATATGTTTCCGTACGTTATAATAAACTATGCGCTTTAGATGCAGAAACACGTTACATATATGATGCTGTGATTCGACAGTTCGATATATTAACGTTACGAGTGATGTACTTGCTAAACCTTTTACTTTTGTTTTGTGTTAAATAGATGATGAATCCGAGTGTTTAACCCTATACGGACGAAGGCGTGTTTATGAATTTTTAACAACATTTTTTACATATATAGATTATTGACTTTTGCAGATATTATTTATAAATATTTACTGTTTTTTTTTCTTGTACTAATTAAAGAAATAATTGCCATCAATCTATTCTTGGCGCACTAGAAAAAGTTACATAATAACTATAGGTTATGAGGGATTAAGTCAGTAGGTGGGGTTTTCCAGCGAAAAAAACTGAGTGAGGAAGTCATATTGAAGAAGAAATCAAATTACTCATGATCTCAAATAAAAAGATCATTATGTGTTTTTATGCATTTAAGATTAGTTTAGGTGAAAAGTGTATTTTGTTATATGCATATGGACCTGAAGGTTGTGTTGTTTATATGCATTAAGCTTAGTTTAGGTGAAATCACTAAAACCCATATCCACTTACTGGGCTTAGATGATAAGTATTGGCCCATATGTGTACCCGCTGGTTGACGCCGAGGGTTTAACAAGAACTCATAAAACCTTCATGTCCAAATATTTGATTCTCGTCTTCCACTGCTCTTCTTCTCCGTGGAGAGAGAGAGAGAGCTCGATGGTCTAATAGACGAATCTCTCTTAGATCGTATGATCTGATCCGATCAAAAGAACAAGAATATGGGAATCGTTTTCACGAGACTGTTCTCATCCGTGTTTGGAAACAAAGAAGCTCGTATCCTCGTCCTCGGTCTCGACAATGCCGGAAAAACCACAATCCTCTGTAAACCATTCTCTCTGAAGCTAAACGCACTGCTGAGCATATAGTTGATCAAGTAGATAGGGTTTTTGATTCGGACGTTTTTGTGTTGAGTTGCATTTTTTTTTTGTTTTGTTTTGGTCTCTGTGTTTTCCAGATCGGCTTCAAATGGGGGAGGTGGTCTCCACGATTCCGAGTATGTATTTATCTCGATTTTACTTTCAATTCTGGTGAACCGGATTACATTGTTTTCGCAGCTTATTTGATTTGCTTTGTTCCGATTTTCAGCTATTGGATTCAACGTTGAGACTGTGCAGTACAACAATATCAAGTTTCAGGTCTGGGATTTAGGTACGTTTCCATAATGTGTATTTGGATATGAAGATGTCTTATATGCATTAAGCTTAGAATTTGAGTTGCCTCGGAACAGTTCTTTTTATATATATACGGAGAAGGAAGACATATTTTATAGGCATTAGATTGATCAAAGAGTGTTCTTGTGGATCCAGTTAGCCTTCTTTAGTGTAGACTAGTAGATTTCACTGGAAAGTGATTATATAATCACATGATGGCAGATCTAACTCTAAATTGAGAAACTAGAACACTGTGTATGGAAAGATGCTAACACAATGTCCATGATTTCCTCTATATTATTATATTTCATACCGATGAGTAGCGGTGACATGTGAATAAGAGTCTGCTTTTTCGAAAAATGGGTTAGAAAAGGTTCCAGAACATTTTTGCGTGTTTTGGAGAGTATTACTTTGGTCACTGCATACCATAGCTTTAGTTTATTTATCGGATTCGTTGGAGAATGATTAACCAAACTTTTCTTGTGAGCAGGTGGACAAACGAGCATCAGGCCATATTGGAGATGCTATTTCCCAAATACACAAGCGGTGATTTATGTTGTTGATTCAAGTGATACAGATAGAATTGGAGTGGCGAAAGAGGAGTTCCATGCAATTTTGGAGGTAAACAACTGCTAAACTGAGAATACAATACTGTTTCTGTTTAGAAACTGTTCTAGGCCTGAGAATATAATACTGGCTCTGTTTAGAAACTGTTCTAGGCGCTATAAATGTTGCTATACGATGTTCTTAGAATGTCAGACAGCCTTGTGGTCGATGACTTCAAACTTGAGATCTACCTGGTTAGTACATAAGGGAAAGCCAAAGCTGGTGTAATCTCAATTAGACATTCTTGGGAAGGGAACTGGTGTGACTTGCTATACAGATTTTTGCGTATCGTTTTACTGCTCCTGTGGAAATTTTGATTTTTGCCTCTAGAAAAATGCTTTGATCACTGAGACTTAACTCGTGTTTTGGAACCTATTTACAGGAAGATGAATTAAAAGGTGCAATGGTTCTTATATTTGCAAACAAGCAGGTTAGTATTGTCTATGGTCAAGCTGTTTACCTCACTGCCAAGTTCTAATAAATTCATCAAGACCACTGTTCAAACTGAACCTCATAGATAGAAGCTGTACCACTTTTGTTTGGTTTTGCATATATGTAATGACTGTTCTGGTAATATTATATAACAGGATCTACCAGGTGCACTTGATGATGCAGCTGTTACAGAGGCCTTGGAGCTGCACAAGATAAAGAGCCGTCAATGGGCAATCTTTAAAACTTGTGCTGTGAAAGGTGAAGGGCTTTTTGAGGGCTTAGACTGGTAAGCACATGAGAAATAATGAAGTTATTTGTTTAGCAAAGCTCTCATTTATGCTTCTTCTTCTCTCCTTTAGGTTGAGTAATACCTTGAAATCAGGAAGCGGCTAACATCATGACACACCACAAAAGCAGCAATGTGTAAACATCTTCCCTAGTGCTAGTTTTACATTCTTGGTGCAGAGAGTTGATAGCTTATCAATTGTAGATACTATCTCTAGCTCAATACCGACCTTGTGAGCATTTTAAGTCGATACAAACCGATAAGGATTTACTACAATACACCTTATTTCCTTCTTTTTTTGCTTTCACTCTCTAAACTTGAGTGCTTTCACTCGCAGTCAATGGTTGTATAATTCCCGAATCAAGTAATATTGGTTTTTCTTGTACTATGTTCAAAGATACCTCGTTTTATACTTACTCCCACATTTCTGAATTTAAAAGGTTTTAGTAGACAATAATTTTTACATCGATGTATCATGTATGGAATGTAAGAAAAAAAAGGACAAGTAATAGGCCTTTGACTGGATTAGCCCAGTTGGACATTTCTATTTTTTTTTTCCTATTGTATTGAGAGAGCTCCGTCGTCGTCGTCTGCATAGACAAATCAACGAGACTCTTATTTTCTCCTTTTCTCAAACAAACTCAGGGATTATAATTATTCACAAACACATTTCCTTGAACAATCCCATGGCTCTCAATCTCCGGCACAAACAGATGGGTAAATTTTTTTGCTCTTCAAACCTAATATGTTTTGCATGGTCTCAATTATGTACAATTGAGCTCCTCGGAGGTAACTACATCGAATATAGCAGTCTGCAGTAGCTCTCGCAGCGAGAAGAGATGGCTAAGAACATTATATATGGAGCCACAGAGATACTTACTGGAACTGAGCTTGTTGAGCAGCTTGCTGTGTTAGGACAGAATATGGGACTAAGATAGCGAAGAAAAGTTAATAAATAACGTTGAATCTTGGTCAGGTGGATTGGTTAGTCTGGTGTTGTTGGGTGCAGTTGCAACTTTTGCTTTTACTGTCTCATATAAGTGTACAACTTCTTAACCAACCTTTTAACCAATATGTTTCTTGTTAAGGCCATTCACGTATTCTTCATTTACAATTTTGATTGATATCAATGTTGTAAAAGCAGGTATATATCCGTGAAACCACAAATTTTTCAGAAAAAGTAGAATGAATCAGAACTTGTACTAACACATTTATTCTATGTTTCGCTACATGCCCAGTTAACAAATGTATAACAACAACAAAAGATACACGACACAGAAAAAAACGTTCGTGTGAGAGTTTTGTTTGTATATTCTTGAAAACCTTTGACCTTTTTATAAAAATG